GGGTGCGCATAGCCCATCTCTGGTGTCTGTGTTAATATCAATCTCGAGGAAAATCACCCCAAGAAAACACCCCCACAAGTTCTTAAGAGAGCGCCGCCGCTCGAGGAGGGAGAGAAATTGTCATCTTATTTATTAAATGGAATTTATATCTCCGAATGATGTTTGCTGAAGTATGTACAAGGCGGGTGTGTTTTTTGCCATGAGGGCGGGCGGACGGGGGAGAAAATTTGTAGGATGGAATTCCATAAGGCGCTTCGTTTGCCACCACATAAAATCAATTATCCCGTTTATGGCTTATACTCGGGATCTTTCACCATGCTTGGCATCTCTATTGCTCAGCAATTCATCGAAGGCGGGGAGCGTGTGGAGGGGGCGTGAAAAAGCGCCCGGCAGGCGATGAAGAAGTGGATGGAATTCTTATGGGTCAGAGTGGGTTGATGTGGGGCGGAATGGGGAGTGACATGGAAGGCAACAAAAGTGGATTGTGTGGAGAATCTCTGAGCTCCTTTCATTCTGGGACTGGGGAATGGGTGGAAAATAGATGGAGAGGATGAATTGTTTGAGCTGGGTGAGTGGGAGAAGACAAATGGAAAAATATGAAAAAACCATAAAGCAAGGAAAGGGAGCAGCACAGTGACGAGAACGAGTGGCAATGGAGCATCGAGAGGGCGGGCGAGGATGTGCGATGTTACCCTCGCATTTGATGTCTGTACAGAGTGACAAAGATGATGGGGTGGATGATGGGGGCAAAAAAACACGTTCTCTGTGTTATAACAAAAGAAAATAAATTGGAAGCTTTTCACTCGCTGTGCGGCGAGGAAGATGATATGATTGGGAGGGGTGGTGAGAATGAATGAATGATTGGAGTGCTGAGTGGTGAAAAAAGAGTGTATGTGGATGGGGATTGTGGGGGGTAGAGCATGAATTTCTTCACCTTTTGTCATTCTCTCCATTAAAGGACGGCCAGAGAGTGAGAAAGAGAGAGGGGAAGAGAGTGAGAGAAGACGGCAAAGTTTAAAGTTCAACAATGCTCTGCACGCGCCCGAACAAATGAGTCGACTGTGCACTGGCAAAGTATGCGGTGAGAGGGTGGAAAATTCCCCAAAGTGGTAGATGGTGGTTTTGGCACAGTCAACAAACCTAAATGCGCAGATCATTTACAGCTTTCGCCTGCCTCAACCCACATTGCGCCACCCCATCGAGCCCCCGAGCGAATTTTCCCTCTGCTGCCTCTGAACACAAACTTACTTATATACTCGTGTCCTCCTTGTTCTCCAGTGGAATTCTCCGAAGGGGTTTTTCGGGTGGTGTGTGTTGTGTGTTCCTTGTATCATCGCATGACGAGCGGAGTGGAGGGATGTGTGGCTGTGGAGTCTTTTTCGGGTGTGCGAGATGCTTGTTTTACACCCCTCTGGTAAAGCGCACACTTCCCACGGGGTGTGAGGGTGTGAATGGGATAAAATGGGAAAAAGAGTACCTCATCTTTCACCTCCCATATCTTTCACTTTTCCACCTCCGTCTTTATCCCTTATACCCACTGAGAAAATATTATTTATTGTGCGACTTTGTGGGTTGTTAGACATTTTTCTCATCTCCACTTTCTTCATCATTTTCCACACAACCCTCCTTCTGTTGTATCTTTAGTGTCATTATGGAGGAAGTAATGCCAAGTATGAGGGATATATGATTTACACATAAAGCCTCCCACTCGCAAATTGAAGTGAGATTCGCCAATAAATTGCTATAAGCAATTCATTCCCGCGGGAAGTCAAATAATCTCCCCACCAAAAAAAAGTGCTTTATGGCACTTTTTTACTCATCCCTGATTTTTTTTCTCTTCTTCTTTCATCGAACAACTTGACGACCCTTCACGAAGGATATAAACCAAGCGGAGGGTGGAGAAACGTATAAAGCAGGGTGACATCGATTTTTAGTCAGATGGATAAATCCCGAACGTGGGTTGAATTTCTTCGTCAAAATCCACACTTTTTGCTGCTGTCCTTCCACTAAATTGTTGGGAAATTCTTGGTTATTTTTTATTTGCACTCGTTCACCCCCACGAGGATGGAGAAAAATGGGGTTACATGCGGAAGGGAAGAAAAGTAACAGAGATATTTGACATAATATCCATCTTCCTCAGTCCACACCGGGAGTTTTTGCCACTGAATGTGTGCTTTGTGCGACATGGTGAAGGGTTAAAAAGGCGGGAAAATCCACCAATGCGTCTCTGTTTACCCCAATTTTCACCCTTCACATCTGCATGTGGGGATGGTGTGTATGATGATATGTTGTGTATTGGGTGGGTGGGTGAGAGTTTTCTCTTTCACTCCCCCACCCCATTCGCATTTCACCCGAGTTGCTCTCTGATGCCATCGCGCCTTTTTTCTACTCACTCTCTCTCTCTCCCCATCATGGGGATTTTCCCGCGTGTATGTTTTTCCGAGCTGTCGTGCCTGGTGTGTGTATGTTGAGAATGAGTGGGAAAAGTGTGGAAAAAAGAGAGTGTTTTCCTCACTCGTGTTCACCCCAACCTGCCTCCTTTCCCCGTGCGGTCGTTGGGGGGTGGTGGAATGGTGAATGATGAAATGGAAAAAGCGGAAAAAGTCGTATAACTCACTTTGGTGTGTCTGAAGTGGGTTTCTCTTGAATTGGATCGCACAGAGGAGTGTAGAGATTGACATATATATATGTATGTTGTGCTCATACATTGCCGAAAAGGCATGCCTATGGAGAGCAGTGGGGGCATGCAGAAATGCGCGGGTGCAGAGGCAAAAGAGCGCCCGAATTGAACAGACGACAGAGAGGAGATGTTTATGTGAGCTGCTCAAACGGAACTGCGCGTCACCGTCATTAACTGAATACGTGTGTCGGTTTAGTAAGTGGAATTCTCGTCTAACTTTTCGTTCTATCACACCACCCTCAAAAAGCAACCCCCAGCCGAGTGGAAATGGGAAGTCGTCTGCCACCCAATTCATGCAAGTTTCACCATTGGTTTTGACGTTAGTATTTGCCTTTCACCTGAATGAGTATTTTCGATGCGAAAGCGATATTGTGAGCAATCCGATATATTGAAAAGAGTAATTTTGAGCACAATTTAACTTTACAACTAATCGGACCGCCTTGAATTACATGAAGTCGGATTAAATGCAGTATAAAATCCGATTGTGTAATTGAAGTGTTTGGAGTAATAAAGCTCATCATGGCAGTTAAAATGATGTACAAAAAGTTGCTTGAATCACTAAAGATTTCTCCAAGTTTATCCTTGGAGAAATTGAGAAAGGCGTCTCGATTGCTCAAAGCTCATCACTTGGAAGTGGCGTGTAAGTTTAAGTACAAATTTCTCTATCCATCGTCTGGGGAAATTCTTCAAGTTAGGTGGGTGTGTAGATGTTCAAATTGAATCTCTCCATAGCTGAAAGTTTTCATCCCTCAGTGGATAATGGGCTGGCTGAAGAGTGTGTGTGTGTGCGGCATGGGTGAGGACGATGGAATGAAGAGGAGATGGAATGATTTAGTGGTAAATTGTTTCAATGTGCTCCAATAATCGCTATCATCATCATATGGGGTTATTATGGAGGGAGAGGGCCAATAAATAATTGGTGTGTATTGTCCATCCACTTGATCTTTGGCTATTATATTGCATATTTATTGTTATTAATATTCATGCCTACTGCATTATACAGCGTAGGAGTATAAATTATCATTAAAATAATATTGACAATGTACTGCAATTAATTATGTCTCGTTAATAATTTGATTTAATTTAATACACGACGCTTGGTTGAAATTGCAAAATAAATTTCGCGCGTGGGCGGTCGCGAGTGGGGGAGGTGGTGAGGAAATGATATAACAAAGCTAAATTGGTGGAGAAATTGTGGATGAAGAGCGCAATAATGGTGTTTTATTGACACCGTGAGGTTTTATTATGGAGCCAAGCTCGTGGGGTTGGAGTGTAAATTTTGTGGCTTGATTAAACTAACCCATCATCATAGTCATTATCATCCGAGCGCTCACACTTTGCTCATTTAACTCGGGCGTCCCAGCCGATTTGACGCCACCCTCCCACCGCCCCTCAGTCCTGACTGATGATGTGATTGTTATGTCGCATTAAATTCACGGGTGGGAAGTGATTTTGGCGCCAGCCAATAATGTGGCATGTGAAATAATATGTGATTAAATAATTTGTCTCATATTAATTAATGACACACATGAAAAGTTTGATATGCTCTGTGTGCTTACCAACTTAATGGGGCCGCCGCGTATCACAGACTGACTGTCTGTGTGTCCCGAGAGGTGTGGAGGATGGCGCGGCCACCAATGATAACATGCCATCCATATAAATTTCACAAAAACAATAAATTGATAGCAATTTTCCCATGGCGCGCACACACTGGCAATTTAATGAGGTGCAAGCATGAGTGGAATTTGGTGTGATTTTGCGATTTCGCATCCACATATTTTTGATTTGATGTTTATACATTAAACTGTTTGCCACTTTCATGTCTTTTTAATGTGATCCCAATATAAATGGCTCTTTAAACTTTTTGGGCACTTTAGTCAATTTGTTTACAACGGGTATATTAAAACACTTCATGTTTTATTCTCTGCCGGACGCGCAAATAAATTAGCCTGTTGGACTGAATTTTTGATTTTGACGCTGAATGGTGAAATGTATATTTGTGAAATTTCCACGTGTGTGATTGGCATTTTTCAGTGTGTAAATGTTTATTAGCCACAATTGTGATATGGGAAGTTTCTAGCGTGGCAAAATTGACGGCGAAAAGGGGGGCGATTGAGGTGTGAAAGAGATATGCAAATGAAAATAAATGATAATATTGCGAGTGAAGCCACATTTCACGCCTTTTTCCCGTTTCCTCGCACAGCGAAAGGAGACTCTCTGTTTGACTTGTATACAATTATTTACCCTCTGGGGGTGGCAGTCCCCCTCTTTTATCACATTCAACTTGTGTAACTCCTGTGTCGTGTTCTCTTTTTTGCAGACGGAAATAGTGAAGCGCCTAAATGCCCTAATTAATCAACTGCTACCGTTTCTGGCCCAAGAGCACCAGCAGCAGGTCATCCAGGCGGTGGAGAGGGCCAAACAAATTACCGTGCCTGAGCTGAATGCAATAATTGGGGTAAGTGGTGGCCCTTCTGTGGGACGCCAGTGTTGTGTGGTTGCCACTTAAATTTCCAAGGGGTGGTTATATTCTCTCTCCTCCCACGCAAAAAGCACACACACTTTTTTCCCTCCAGACACCCGCCATAAGCTCTCTCTCTCTCTCTCTATGTACATAAAGTTTTTCTCTGACTTTCTCCTCCTCATCTCTCCGCTCCTCCTCCGTCACCCCAATTTCCCGGGGACTCGCAGGAATGATGTGTCCAGGGGATGAAGATGCAGGATACATAGTGGAGAGGTGTGTGGATGGGGCGCTGAGACAGAGCCTCCCCACTTCTTATGCCTCCTCACGCTGTATCTCGAGCATTTTTCTTCTCACAATTTTTTCCTGCCTTCGCTGCTTCACCCTCTGCCGGGGAATCTGTGCGCGGGGGTGGGTGGAAATTTTCTATTTCAACATTCTCTCCACCAAACCAGAGCGCGCCCATCGCACACCCCACTGGGGCGCCTCAGCGCGAGTGTGGGCGGCATTCTTTGTTGTAAAAGTCCCTGCAATTTGTGTAATGCGACGCTGGGGTGGGTTTGAGGGATGAAAATGGCATGAAATACAATAAATAGCTAAGGAGTAAATTTCACCCTCGGTTAGAAGAGGTGAGCGTCGAGCAAAAGAGTGGAGGTGAAGAGATGCCTTGTGGGGAAAGGAGCGAGAGAGACGGGACGAGGAAAAGGTACGGGATGATGGAGGTGGTGAATGAGGGTTGAGATTTTTCTCCCTGATAATAAATTTATTATGTACACTCACACAATTTCCTTATTTTAATCACGTTTCATTCTTTTTTATTAGTCTCTCCACCATCCCTTTTATTGCATTTATTTTTTTTAATACAATATTATTTCCCCCATGTTTTGTATCAGCTGAATTTCTCCCCTCACTCCCTTTGTTGCCGTGTTTTCTTGTTGACACTAGACAGTCGTGATATATACATATATATTTTCTATGATAATTTTGTTCTGTAATCTATTTCAATTATTCCCACCATTCGAATATTTAGATATATATATTTACAATAGTTGAACGTGTTTATTTTATCCTCACGTTTTATTTCTCTTTTTTTATTATCTTTGGCATTTATTTTCTAGTTTTTGACAATTACTGCAAGTTGATTTACTTTATTTCTTCTGCATTCTTGTGTGATTTTGAACAGAGACAGAGATTGACCAAAACTGAAATCTTACTACTTTTGAAGAGAGTGTCTTGTATTAAAATCGCGGTTCTTTTCTTTCTTTGTAATATTTGCAGCAGCAGCATCAACAGGGACTTCAGCAACTTATCGTAAGTGCGATTTCTTTTTCCAAAACAAAAAAAAATCAAATCAAAATCTTAAAGTTTTGTCTTCACGTCATCATTCAGTGTTATTTTTCTTTAAATTTCTTTGTCGTTGTTTTTTTTTTATCTGTACTCCTACCAAAAATCAAACCTTCCATAATTCATTATCGCAATGCAATCGAAATTAATTACATAATAACTATATTGCCGATATAAATAACACATTGAATGGTGTTTATTATTTCTCATTAATGTGTCTGTCTTTTTTTTGTAAATTGGGTTGTTCTCTAAAGTGTATCGCATTTATTAGTTGTTTGGACAGCGTGAATTTTCGATTAACCCCTCAACATGAGGTATAATACATAAAATCACATTGTAAAAATATAATTGAAATTTCACAGCAATAGAAGAGGAATGAAATTAAATTAACCCCCATTGAAAGTGGCTGAATTTGCAGCAAATGGGTTTCAATTAAACACTATCTCTCTCTCTCTCTCTTTCTCTCTCTCATTATATCCATGTTTTTGAGGTGGACATTTGACCTCATACACACATTTTGCGCTATGCATTAATTTCTTTTGCGCTGTATGAGAAAATGATGAAAAATACGATGAGCATTAAAGCAGATGTTGCTTGCTTTTATGGTCCATTGTTAGCTATTTCTCTTAGGCTTCCTCATGTTCTCCGTTATCATCGTCACATTGCTCATTTTTATCCATCACAAGAAACTCCTTTTGCCACTTTGCGCGTGATTTATTCTGGCACGAATACGAATGCGGCTTAAATGAAGAGAAAAAGCAGTTTAAAATCAACCGGTATATCAAATAAAGACTCCTCTTTGCCATAATCTGGCGCATAGGTTGGGTAAAATTAATAGTAATTGCATGTTTGTGTTTTGGATTTAAAATTGAAATGCTCCCCACAAGAACCACGATGCTTTGTTTGTGCTAATGTTTGTGAATTATTCACAATAGCGAATGTATTTGTGTGTAATAGAAAATTAGAGGGTGGTAAATATATTGTGTAACCAGCGCCAGAATAGATTGCATTTTGGGGTTGAGCATTGTGTATGACTGGCGATCTCATTGAAATGTATGTGTATATGAAATGCGTTGTTGGGGTGTGAGGGTGGAAAACCACAATTTGTAGCAATTGAAGAGCTATATCCGAATATCATTCGGATTACTCTATTACAATTTGTGTACTCGTGCCAATTGAAAATCATCTCGTTTTGCAGTGGAAATTTACAATGCCACGAGAGGGGGAGGGGGAAGAGAGAGCACAATAGGATGGATACTTCTTTCCTTTATGTGTTGAGGAGTTGAGTTTCTGACAATTTGCGAGGAAGAGGAATTCACTGGGGGAGAAGATGGTCAAAATGATACTCAACTGTGCGTTTCAGTGAGCACAGCTCTTGTCTATTGTGTTGGTAATTGTATGGAGATTGAAGTAGAAACGAGGGGTTGTTTTGCTTGATATAAATGGAGTGAGACACGAGATTTCCGTTATTTAATTCACCCCCAAAGTGAATTGTGTGTGTGTGCGCGCCATGTACACATTATTTGATGGTTTAGAGAGACGCGCGATCCCTATTCATTTCGCTCATTCTCCGCATGATATTTTTCATGCTTGTCAATTTTCCACCCTCTTGTGCACTCTCATATTCATCAACCCATCCAATATTCGCTCCCACATGAATTCCGGGCGAAATATAATGTTTTTGCAATGTGGACATGAAGAGAGAAGAAGAGTGCTAAGCTTCTTTTGCGAGGGTGAATGATTTTGATCTGCGTGTCTATTGCAATGATCAACAGAGATGAATATGTATAGAAATATAGCGTAATCATCTCTCAGCAGTTTTCCGGGGCTTTTCCTTTCTTCCCATACACATATCGATAATTAATTTTCACTTTCAATTTTTTTCTCCGTCGCAGTCCTTATACAAGGCACCCTCCTTGTGTTAATACAATTTATCCCCTCGTTATTGATTGTAATCTCTCACCATTTATTTCCAACCCCTGACGCTGAGGGGCAAATATGAGAATGAGGAGTAAACATTATCCAGAGGGACGCTAATTGTGTGACTTTTCTCTCGCTGAGTGTGAGATTGCAACATCTGTCCAATTATTGTTGAAATTTTGTGGTAATTTCGAAAATGTTTTCTCCCCTCCTTGACTTTTGTCATGTATATGTATATGCAATAGTGTATTTACAACATTTTCCACGGAAAGTTTCTCCTTGAATTGGAATGCAACAATTTCACATGTGAAAATGTTTTGCTTGCAAACTTGCATCAATTTAAGTTAATCCACGTCAATTTTCCATATATTCGTTCTGGGTTGGAAAATGAAATAGTTTTATTCCACTGACAGCTCTTTTCCTATTTTCCCATATGCATTTCACACCATATATATATATATTGGTGTGGAGTTGTCGAGGCTGTAGTTTAGTGATTACAAAAACAGAGGCAATATCTTGTGATATGAAATGCTTGCTATACGATGCAACTCTGGGTGCTTTTCGCAAAATGGAAAACACAGCACAACAGAGCAACACCAACATGGGCTGTGGCGGGTGAAATGTTCTCTTCCTGTGGGGATTTTAGAGTAGTGTGGCAAAATGGGGGTTGAAGCTGAAATTTGGCAGTTGGAGGGTGTCTCAGTATTCACCATACTTCGACAAATCCCTCGTGGCGGAACAATAAAATTGTTGTGTTGCTGCTGCTGTCGCATATTAGCAAGCAACCCTCCGCACTTTCCGCCATGCGACGTCAAATAGGGTGGTTTATTCAAGCGTTATTCAACTCCTCTCCTCGGTTGAGGGTGAGAGATTCTGTGAGCTGCACAATCCAATTTCAGCAACACTGAAGCCAGCGGCTCAATAGACCCACTCAGCATGTGAGAATATGTGCTGTGTGTGTGTATGTGGAAATTTTGGAATATTTACTGGCTTTCGCTTCACCCGCCCCTGAATCCCATCACCCAGCGTCATGGGATTGTGTCTGGATGTGCGCTGGGGTGGGTAGTTTTGCCGGTTGCCAACATTATTTACTGTACTGTCGGGGGTTCTTTCCACCGTGGCTGCCATGACGAATAGATTAGGGGTTGTTTAGTGTTGTGAGCTTGACTCGCGCGCTGAACATTTGGCGAGATTACAATTTAGTTATACACTCGCAAATACGTCTCCCTTTCCATAAGAGGGGTGAAACAATAAACGAACAACTGTGATGGGGTGGGAAATTTTACCATTCTCAGCTCTCTTTCTCTCTGACTCTCCATTTGAGTGCCGTGATTTCTTGTTATTTGACTCGACGATGCAGAGACGATGATGGCAAAAAGGGGACGGAAATGGCAAATGAAAATGTAGGGGTTGTAAATGATGCCCTTCCATCACTGTATAATTAGTGTAAATTGCTGCAAAATATGCCATGTTTGGCGGTGGGAGTGAAGGTGACCAGAAAGGGTGGCGAAAAAGTCTCCGCTCGTGTTGATCTTACCAATTTGACCCCTTTTTGCTGTTTGTAAATCTACTTACAACGAAATTCGAGGGGTGTTTGAAGTGCAAACTGAATTTTTCTTGATTAATGGACTTTCTCAATTTGATAAACTACCAGTCAATGAAGTCACACTATGGTGTGAAAAAATAGAAAAATATCAGAATTAATCTTCCTAAAGTTTTAATGATACTTATTAGTGGTTTCAATTGTTTAAACTAAATCTTTCTTAATACTTTTACTGATTGTCTTCAAGGCAAAAGTGTCTCAACTTACGAGAAATCAAGACAACATTAAACTTCTAAATTTTTACTTACTTTACTCTGTATTTTGTGAAGCTTCTCGAATGAGATAAAGGCTTAAGACATGGCTTTTTCTATTTTTAAAGTATCTCGGGTTTCACCGTAAAGTCTGGTTGAATTTTTGACACAATCTGTGCTTTATTATAAATTATTATGTACACTGTGATGATAGGTAATTTATTTCCACGAACACAGAATGGGGAAGCGGAGGTGGTTCGGTGTCTGGTAAAAAATTGTTTGAAATTGAAATGATGCTATCGCAGACCCAGCCAAACCGCCATGTACATATATTGAGTGGAAAAAAAATTCCATCAATTGAACACCAATATCAGATTCTCTCTCAGTATAACGATATTTAATTTAAAATAACTCCACAAGTCCCACACCACCCGCGTGAGCTGGACGAGAGGCGCCTCGCCGGGGCATTTTGTGGTGTTCTGTGAATGAACACAGACTCCATCGACTGGGGCGCGCGGTGGTGGCGATGTGGATGAATGGTGGGAATGATTGTGGTGATGCTGCTGCCTGTTTCGCTGTTGTTATTATTATTATTATGCGCGAAATTAAAACCCCAACCACGAAATTCGCTTTATTCGGCACCCAACAAACCACACTCGCATACGAACACTTGCGAATATGTGTGTACATTTGGTTCTTGTGTATAATTTGCTTTTTGCTCCACTGTCACGATATCACACGCCCCCTCTGCACCCCTTTTCGGCAGCCCGGCGCGCTGAAAACAATTTCTCCCCAAATTTGGCACTGTGTGTACATGGAGCACAAAACATTTGTGTAGATACACAAATAATATACAATAATGGTGGAGTGAATTTAAAATAACCCCCATTGAGTGTTGAGTGGGTGGTATTTTTGATTCAATGTACACTCTCTGGCGTGCCTGTATTTCTGCGGTGAGAGAAAGTTTTTCAGGGGGTGTGAGCAGGGCGAAGGAGAGGGTATAATTGCTATATACAGTGTGGGGGTGGTGAATGAACTATAAACAGTGTGAAACAGAGCAAATACATGCATTCATGTCGCATAATGAAGTCCCCCCAATTATTCGCGTCATTTATTGGAAATTAATTAATTCACACCATATTATGGCAATTTTCAAATCCAGTTTTGTGGTGTACATTTTAATGGTGCACAGAGCGCGTATAGCGCCCAAATGTGCGCAAGGGACAATGCTTTTTCGGCGGGTGGGGCGAACCCACCATTTCGCGCTATAATTTGTTTCAGATTGTTTCAGGGTGTGAAATGAATTTCAATTGCCATTCGGGTGGGATTTGCACATAACACCACGCACTTTTCAACCATATAGAGTTTCGTGTTGTCTGGCAAATTGATGGATGAGGGTGGAATTTTTGTTTGTTTACAATTCAAATTAAATTTGACTCTTTTTTTCCTACGGGAATACAAACGCAATAGAAAACATTGAATGTATCACAGCTAAATTGTGTGTTAAAAGACTGTTGAGCAAACTGTTGAGTTTCGAACTTGGTGAGCTTGAAATCCAATTAGATGCGATGCTTTTCTTTGCCAATAAATTCAATCACCCTGAGTGATTCATGACGATGACCTCACGATGGATCAGTGGTCGGATGTTGAGGGTGCTTCACCAGTGAAAAGCTCTGTGCTGCGATGCTGCGGGATGGAGCACAACCCCATAGCCTTGTAGCAATTTATTGAAATGTGTGTAAACCACATCCCAATTTACATATGAGCACACAGCTGAATAACAATGCGGTTTACACCGAAAACCACCCACCCGTTGTGCCCACTCTCGGCACGGACATACATTTAATGCAATATGTACACTGGGGGTCGCCGGGGATGCCGGAGATGGGGCTGAGGGAGGGACAAACACCCAATTCGCCGCACTATTTCACGTTAGTTGGGCTATTATCGCCCCGCCACCCTCGGTGGGTGGTGTGCACTCGACGGAGTGCAACAGAGGGCCGCATCGGTGGGTAATTTATACAGTAATGGGGTGTTTTATATGCCTATCTTTTTTGCGTTGTACCTCTGTTGCCTCACAGTGTGTTGTTGCACCCCCGCGCGCGGGGTGGAGAAATATGATTCAATGGGATTTTTACGTTGCGCCCGGTTAGGCAAATGTGACAGAATCGATAGGAATTTGATTAAAAATTTAATTTTATTTATTGTCACACGTCACTTCAGCCCGAGCGGCGGAGAGCGCTATTGTATCAATTATCTGGACATTGTCTCAATATTTTTGCCTGACACTTCGCATAGACGCACACACACAGTGTGGCGGGGTAGAAAAAAGCGAGGCGGGAATTGTGTGGAAGGGCACTTTGGTGATGCCCTGAACACCATTCAGTGGAGATAAATTGCCCCAGAGCGAAGCTGAGGGGCGATGGTATTGAAGAGAAAATATGTGTTACACTGAAAATGTGTGTGGGGGTGGGAAAGAGAGAGAGTTTGTGTGAAATTTGGAGGGAGGAAATGCCGTATAATAAATTCATGAGGGGTGTAAATTGAGTGCTAAATCAAATGTACTGTGTCTGTATAAATTTCATTCTCTCTCCCTCTTTCGCCTTTGCTTGTGTACAACATTGGAGATTTTCAGGCCGCAAAGTTATACTAAAACGCCAGGAGGCTGAGAGGATGTTTCCAATAGGACACACACACACATTGCATTTCGAAGCTCTTGAATAGTTGATTTATTTATTATATTGGAAAATAATTTATGGGGAAAAATTGAGAGATCGTTTAGCAAAATTTATTGAGATTTGGCTATAGCAAAAGGAGGGTTACCAATGAAAAGGACGCAATGCAATCAATGATTGACCTTGTTTTTTGGCTGTGTAAGTCAGCAATTAGAGTGGAAACAGATGTCCTTTTCAACTACATAAATTGCATTTATGCACCGTGTCAGAAGAGTTGGAAAACTGAGGGTGAAAGTGTGCTCACAGAGGAAATGAGGAGTGACATTCACATGGAGTTTGCTAAGTGGCATCCGTTAAAAAGGGGTTTTAAAAATTCAATGAGGTTTGTCCTTCTGTAAGAGCACTTAAAACTGTGCAGTTCGTCACTGTAGAGTAGAATGTGGGATTAGATTGAATTAGAAATTGGGATTTCACATCACAGCTCTTTTCTGGTGTGTCCAATCAGTATTTGATCCCAATTACAAAATTATTGGAGGAAATCTTTGGAAACGACGTTTAATTATTGCATCAACGTGTAAGACTTCAAATTGAATCTTCAACAGTTGAAGATGATCCCAGAAATCACATCACATTGCAAGCTAAGCAGGGAAATTGCCTTTATCTCAATTTTCTAAAATTTTGTATGTTCCCAGACGTGGAGGTTTTACAAAACGAATCCGATCATAGCTCAAGAAGCTAAACAATCCACCTCCAACGCTCTAGTGGTTATCCTTTTTTGCCATTCAAGCCGAAAGTGATTGTCAGGATGAGAGGAAAGGATTGACAGTGGGAAAAGGCCACAATAGACATCCTGAGGAGGAATCATTCAATGTGATTTCGGTCCATTGGGGAGGCGGTGGGAAAAGAGAATGGATTGAAATTCGATTTCCTCTTCCTTTCCACACACACACACATACAGAGTGCGGGATTTTTTGCCACCCCCGAGAGTGATTTTATGTGCTAAATCGAGAATTTATCTCTTCATGCCCGGGGTATCATGTTTGAAAATTTTCCCGAGCGGAAATTGTTGTCATTCTCCTGGGGATTCTCTGCCATTCACGATGAGTGGTGCGGAGAAGAGGGACTGTGAAGTGTTAATTAAAAAGGCACAAAACAGCGAAAACTCAACCATCAGGCGGCGATGAGGGTGAATAATGGCGGCTGGGGTGAGAGCAATGGGTGGGTAATAGAGGCGAATTACTTATTCCAAATTGCCATTTCCCACCCACACGGCGAAAGCGCGCGCGAGAGAGAGAGCAAATTCATTTGAAATAATAATTATTGCCACTGTCGGGGAAGGAATACTTTTGTGTCCGCGCGAGGGGTTGAAAAAGGTTGGGATGTTAATTTTCATTATTTCTCTGCAACCGTGCGACGACGACGATAGCTTTTTGCCAAATATTTGCCTTGCGATGCGCGTCACAAATTGAGAAATTGTGACTTGAGCCTCCGCCCTGTCGCTCGTGTTGAGATAAATGGTGACAATAAGGGGTGGAAATGTGCCATTTTCGCAAAAGGCCAGTGTACGTGAAGCCAATGGTCAGGAAAAGAGGGTGGATCTCGTGGAGAAGAGAGGGTGATTTTTATCACAATTTCCACTTTGATTCTTTCGCTCGTCATCCCCCGAAAAGTCCCGGCAACGGAGAGGGGGTGGGGATATTTAGAGGGGTTGTGAAGGACAGAATGTCTCTGAAATTTTATTAACAATTTCCCTTGACTTCTCGTGCCACCCATTTTTATTGGGGGCGCCATGAGGGAGGAATCTGTTGAAGCAACACAATTGATTACAATCGAAATTTCAACCCCTTTCCGAATCCCTTGACAATGTTCATGAGCCCTGAAAGGTGATGGTTGTTTGCACTCACTGGATGAGGTGTGGTGGGGGAAGGGGAAGCAAAGAGGGTGGAAGAGTGAGTACATAAATTAGTCACCCTTAATCCACCCTCAAGAGATTAATCCAAGGGTTGCATTACAAATCATGCGTCAATGATTCCAGGAGCGCCTCCTCTCATTAGCCAAAGGGAAGCTTTGCGAGGGACTCCGAAATCAAATATCATGACTTTTAATCTGTCCACATCATTGCAATATTATAGTGTCTATGCCTGACTAATTTCTCTCCTTGATTGTGGCTTGTGCATGCTTGCGGTATCAATTCATCACGGCTTCGGTGGTTTATCTCACACACAGTAATGCGATATATTCCATTATCTATCATGTATTCGAGGGTCGGAAAGTATTTTATTGCAATGTACACGTAATCTGCTATGCACTGTGACTTGTATTTAGTTGGCATCCGCATGGTTATATTGACTACTTCTAAAGTCCTCCTGCTCCTCTCATATCAACCATCCATTATATGATTATGTCCAAATGCCATTGACAAGACACAATCAGAGCTGATTTGCGGAGGAATTCACTAAGCATTCTTCCTACGTTTCCTCTCTTGCAGCAACAAATCCATGCTCAACAACTGCCAGGTGCTCCGCCGCAGCCGATTCCGTCTCTCGGAGCTGCCCTGGCGGGTCCTCTGGGGGCGTTTGGGGGTCCCATTGGGCTTCCGCATGGCGGTCCACAAGGTCTGCTCAAGGCTCCTCAGGATCTCCACAGGGAGGACATCAAAGTCCCACTTGGACCTGCAGCAGAGGAGCGCTTGGTGAGTTTTGAGGGCGGGGCACTCGAGTGGGCGTGGCTTAACGCATCTGTCTTGCAGAGAAACTCCGTGTCACCGGGTGAAAGGGAAAAGTATCGTCCGCGAACACCTCTTGATATGGAAGCGGACGCCAAAAGGCGAAAGGAGGACAAGCTAACGCATGTAAGTAGCCGTGGAAGAGTCTCTACTTTCCTGGGAACTGAAGATCTTTACCACAACTGCATTGAGATGATTTAGTTTTCGGGCGGCTTCTATAGCGATTTGTGTGTGTAGAGAGAGGCACAAGATCAATGATGAAGATCATCGTCTCAATATTTCTCCTTCGCTACGTCTCCTGAACTCATTTTCACATGATTTTTTCTCTCTTTTTTTTCTTTCTTTCACATTATTTCTGTTTTGAGTATCATTGAATTTTCACAACTCTGTTTTTCCGTTGGAGTCTTTAGTTAGTTTGATTTTCTCTCATTTTATTTGATTTTGCGTTTTCTCTTCTTATTATGTTTTCCAGGAGAGTGATGGTGAGAAAAGCGATCAGGATTTAGTTGTGGACGTCGCCAATGAAATGGTGAGTTGTCGTGAGTGCGTGTATGTGTGTCTCTGTCACTGAAAGAGCACAAACCAGATGGAAAGAGAAAAAAAGAGCACAAATCACGATGCAATTGTCCAATTTTCCGCCCGAAAATTAAAGAATTATCTCTGCAGAGATGAAGTAAGGGGTGCAAAATGTGCTGACGGTGATTTTCTTTCAAGCAGGAATCGCCTTCGCCGAGACCAAACGGCGATCACGCGTCCATAGAGTCGAGGGATCGTGATCGGGACAGTATTGGATTGAATGGTGATCGTCCGGACAAGGCGGGCAGCAGTTCAAAGCCATCGAGTCAGGAGCGTCCACCATCGAGATCGGGCTCGAGCTCGTCACGTTCAACACCAAATCTCAAGACTAAGGATGTAAGCTTGGCTATAATCTCTTCATTTCCAGTGGAGCAAATGCTAAATGTGTTCTCTTTGTTGTGCGCAGCTCGAAAAGCCGGGAACGCCGGGCGGCAAGGCGCGATCCACGACACCCAATGCGGCCGTGGCCGGAACGCCCAAGTCCAACGTTCCTCCCGCTCCGGCTGGCTATCCACCGTCGCCATATCAGAGGCCTGCGGATCCGTATCAGCGTCCGCCACCGGATCCGGCGTACGGACGCCCACCGATGCCCTTCGATCCGCACGGCCACGTGCGGACCAACGGCATTCCCATTCCCGGCGCCATCACCGGAGGAAAGCCGTGAGTGCTTGCAATCCGAATGTCCCTCGAGTGCGGCTGAATGACTCTTTCTGCCTCTGCTTTCAGTGCCTACTCCTTCCACATGAACGGCGAGGGAACGCTGCAGCCCGTGCCCTTCCCGGCGGACGCTCTCGTTGGCTCCGGGATTCCCCGACACGCCCGCCAGATCAACACGCTCTCTCACGGTGAAGTGGTCTGCGCCGTGACCATCTCCAATCCCACCAAGTACGTCTACACGGGCGGCAAGGGTTGCGTGAAGGTGTGGGACATCTCCCAGCCCGTCAGCAAAACGCCCGTCAGCCAGCTGGACTGCTTGGTAAGTCCTCACCATGCTTGTCGCATGCTGACCAGTGCTAATCTCTGGCTCTCTTGCAGCAACGCGACAATTACATTCGATCAGTGAAACTCCTCCCGGACGGCCGGACCCTTATTGTGGGCGGCGAGGCGTCCAATTTGTCCATCTGGGACCTGGCGAGTCCGACGCCGCGCATCAAGGCGGAACTGACCTCGGCCGCGCCCGCGTGCTACGCCCTGGCCATCAGCCCGGACTCCAAAGTGTGCTTCTCGTGCTGCAGCGACGGCAACATCGCCGTGTGGGATCTGCACAATCAGACGCTGGTCAGGCAATTCCAAGGCAAGTTGAATCCCTGAATTTCTCCTGGGATTCTGTATTTTTCCCTAAAATTGAAAAATAGCCATTTGGCGTGGAATTTCTTATGCAACTGCTGAGACTTTATTCTCTCGCTTCGCAGGACACACGGATGGAGCTTCTTGCATCGATATCAGTCCCGATGGCAGCCGCCTGTGGACTGGTGGATTGGATAACACAGTGCGATCGTGGGACTTGCGAGAGGGACGACAGTTGCAGCAGCACGACTTCAGTTCACAGATCTTCTCCCTTGGGTATTGTCCGACAGGTGAGCTCGCATCTCCTTCGTCCGCCGTGGCTGGACAGAAGCTCACGCTGTTCTCCCCATTTTGCAGGTGAATGGCTGGCAGTTGGCATGGAGAATTCGCACGTTGAAGTGCTCCATGCGTCGAAAACGGACAAATACCAGTTGCATCTGCACGAGAGTTGCGTTCTGTCGCTCAGATTTGCCACGTGTGGTAAGTGGTTCGTCTCAACCGGCAAAGATAACCTGCTGAATGCTTGGCGCACGCCATACGGAGCCAGTATATTCCAGGTGAGAGAGAATATATTTTGTGATTTATGGATCAATTGCCAAGACTGAAGATTTTCTCTCTCTCTGTCTGTTTTTCTCATACAGTCGAAGGAAACGTCGTCGGTTCTGAGTTGCGACATTTCCACTGATGATAAGTACATCGTGACCGGATCGGGAGACAAGAAGGCCACAGTCTATGAAGTGATCTACTAAGTAGAAACAGAATCACTTCTATCGACACACCGAAGACTGACTTAAGGAAGGTGACAAGCAGGAGAAAAATCTGGACATTTGATGAGAGAAATATTGTGGACTCTCTCTGAAGAAGAAGGAAGAAGAAAGAAAAAAATTGTGTAGAAATATATTTGACGTTAATTATGTGGGCGGAGAGAAAGTGGTGAAAAGAAATTATTCTGTAACTGTAGGAATGTACTTTTGGAGAATGATTGGCTCTAGTGTTTAAGGAATTTAACAGTAAAACACGCAGATGATAAGAGTGGAAATTTGTATAAGTATAGTAATGTGAATTTAATGCACATGTGATAAATCCACAAATTAATAGCACATTCGTACAAGTATAAATGGAATTATATATATATATTAAAGAAAAGAAAACACACAAAATATATGTAGATGATCTTGAAGGGTGTGACACGAGCCAGGAGGGATGAGAGAGAATTCCTCTGCGCGTGCAGAGCGAGATTTCGAGGCGTATTTGAGAGAATTGCAAGGATATGTAATTTAAAGTACAGCAGTGAGTTGATGCTAAACCCGTAGGTTAAGGCTAAAATATAGGCGCCACATAAGGAATCATTATGTAACTGTAATGTCGCACACGTAAATTGAATCATACTAATTAAGTGTAATTAATAAACGTTCGCATAAGTGTGTAAAGGAGTTCGGTATTCCCCAGAGATTGTGAAATGCTGAATGTTGCGAACATTGTGGAGAAAAATCACACAGAAGTGACGAGGAGGACAAAAAAAAACTCGATGGATTTACCATTTAGAACAGAATTGTTTTGAAATTAATCCGTAAATTAAAGAAAAAAAAACTAGTATTGAGGATAAAGTTTTATTTTTAGAGACAGAGAGAAAAAGTGGTGGGAGAGAAGCCACGGATGGAGATAATTGCAAGAGGATTTTAATGTATTTGGTCTTAGAAGAAGAGTGTGAAGAAGGGGTGAAAAAAAACTCACTATATTCAAGAGAAAGTATAATAGATAAGTCGATAAGAGTATAAGAGAATATTCTTTTTAAATGTACAATGTAACATAAATAACATAATTAAATGAGCAAAAGAGAAAAGCATCAATTTTATTGACAATCTCACAGTAACTGAACGAACTGAACACTTGGCGCGGATCACATAAGCAAATCTGGCGATGCTGACGGTGGTTTTTTGGGCTTCCGGCCGGGCTTGGCGGGCGGCAGAGCGCGCCAGACGCCCTTCACCTTCCCAGAGAGGATCTTCCGCTCGTGCACGCGTCTGTGCTTGGCCAGGTGATCGGATCTGGCGAAGGACTTCGGGCAGTAGTCGCAGTTGTAGGGTTTCACGCCTGAGTGACTCCTGCGGTGTCTCGCCAGCTCGTCAGAGCGCGAGAAGCGCCAGGAGCAGTTGGGCCACACGCAAGCGTAGGGCTTGTCGCCGAGATGCCGTCGCACGTGGGCCTTCAGATGTGCCGCCTTGGCGTATGACTTGCCACATGACGCGAAGGAGCAGCGGAAGATCTTCTCCTCCTGCCGCGCACAGCTCAGCTTGAGGTTCTCCGAGCTCTCCTTGAGGAACTCATCGCATGAGTCCGAGCACAGAGGCGTCTTCTCGGGCAGTGGCGTGAGCATGGGCGAGCAGTCGTCCAGCAGAAGCTGCTCCAGATTCAATTCCCAGTCGAATTTGCAGGAGTCCTCGGCGCTCCAGCTGCTGAAGGCCTCCTGGCCAGGCACACTCTGCACCGTGGCCTCTGGCGGCTCTGGTGGCGTGTATGCGATGGGCGTGAAGAGAGGATCATCCCACATGCCCAATTCCTCATCCTCGGCCACATCCTGGAACTCCGTGTAGAACTGATGGAAACCCGTGGCGAAGAAGTCCTCCATGCTCGACGAACGACACACAAATGGTGACTGGACTTATCTGTCCAGAAGCCTCGGTCGATCTCTGTTCCATTTCACATTGCCAGGATCGAATTTCTCTGGCTTCTGGTCGCTCGACAGACAAATTTATCGGCTGTCCACGCATTTACAATGTCGCCTCACAAATTTCGCTCTTGTGCAGCATCACGATTTGCTGAATGAAGGAGTGAGAGAAAAAGCGATCGAGTAGAGAGAATTCATTAATGATCTGTCCCTCTGTATCCAGAGCCGCTGTCTATCTCTCTGGTGGTCGCCCAAAAGAAACCAGATGCACGCTGGCTTCCGGTGATTAGGCGCTCACTCTTTATCACAATCTGCGTAAGTCTCGATTGGGATTTTCCATGCCACTTTTCGTTTCGCAGTTTTGCGTGATTTTACAAGTAATTCTACGATTATATTTGCCTTATTCGGAGGAATTCTTCCGGCTTATCAATTTAAGGAAACCAGAATGAATTCCTGGTCGCAAAGATGCCTCCAGATAATCTGCCATCGCCACAGGATTCAATGCAGTCCCAGAAACTTCTGAGGCACTTCACCATCTCACAGAGTTGATGTCTTATCCGCTTCTGTCTCCCGGATTGCAAGATTTCTCTTCGCGATGATTGCCGGAAGCATTGCTATCAATCTGCATGTCTTCCTTCATGTTGGACAGATCCAGGACGCAGCCAGCCAACTCTCCAATGCTATTTCGGCCAATTCCGGGAGGTTTCTGCCTCTTTTCAAGCCTTCACGCCGCGCAATGTATGTCTGATTTCCACGTCGGAGAGACGCTTCAGCACTGCTCTGCACGCTGCCCACGTTCACTTGATCACTCCTGCCCAGGCTCAGATCCTTCGCCATCAGGACTATGCCATTTTTGCTCACTGGTAACGCAAACACAATCAAAACGACTTTCTGGCGCGGAAACTTGGCAAAAACACGCGAGGATTCACACAATTCCACTTGTTCCTTCCTGTTCCAGAGGTGCAAAGTACGTAAATTGCACAGGATCGCGTGCCTGGAGTGGAAAATTGACTCAAAACACTGAATTTGGGCACTTTTCATCGAGTGAGAAAAAGCTTCTAGAAAATGTTCTAGAAGGATCGACGAAAACTGATCCGCGATCGCAGTATTGTTGCAAAACTGCCCGTCGCCAGGGTTACGGCTCGCTCGCAAAGCGCTCATTGGCTCTCGGCGTGCTCGGCTCGTTCGGGTCGGCCGAGGGTATAAATATCAGTGCAGTTCTGAAAAATTCTCAGTCGTACAGTGAAGAGCGAAGAGAAGAGACGTGAAAATAGCGTGAAAAACAAAAACCCGAAATAATAGTTGAAAAGAAGCAAATATGGAAAACATGGAACAAATTATGATTACGCCGATTATTTTTTGCAATCTATATTATATAGAAGTTGGTTTCGATGGCCAAAACTGGCATTTCTGGCCATATTATTCTGTTGATCAGGTGCAGTATTTTTACCATTACTAATTTTGATACTTGAAAAGTGCTAAATTATGGTGAAAACTCAAATTAATGTGTAAAATTGTTAAAAATCCTGTGTATAAAGTAAAATTTTAGTGAATAATAGTGAAAACGTATAATGAAAATTGTAAAGAAGAGTCAAAAATGTAAATAAAAAATTGTAATGAGAGTGAAAAATGTAAAATATTGTGTAGAAGAATGTAAAAAAAGATTGAAAAATGTAAGTGAAAATTGTAAAAAGAGTGAAAAATGTAAAAAATAGTGTAGAAGAATGTAAAAAAGATTGAAAAATGTAAGTGAAAATTGTAAAAAGAGTGAAAAATGTAAAAAATAGTGTAGAAGAATGTAAAAAGGAGTGAAGAAATGTGAAATATTGTGTGAAAACTATAATAGAGTGAAGAATGTTAAAATAATAGTGTAATAAGAGTGAAGAGTGTAGCAAAATAAGAAAATCAGGTTATAAAACAATAAAATTGGTGACGTGGTTCATTGTGAACTGCGATCATTAAATTATTGTGAATAAAGTTTGGTGATATTGTGGTGTGGCGTGTAAAGCCCGTGAAAATTCCTGTGATATATAATAATATAATAAAAAAAGAAAAAAATTAATAATAAAAAATCCAAGTGATAAATTGCTCTAATTGAATTTAATATATAAGATTTTGATACTGTCTTTCTTTTTTTTCAGATGCGGCCAGATCTATCGGACGAGGTGATAATAAAATAATTAAAGGCAAAATAATCTTGTGGCATCTTTCTAAGGACACTTGAACTGATAGGGAGGGACTCCTAATAAAACATTTTAGTTGCTCATCAGAACACTCGTTTAATTCATCTTCTTACCACAAATTTCATACATTTTTAATAAATTGTTGAATTTAAAAAGACAAAACTTATGTATTTTTCTTATGTAACTTAATTATTATAATAAATGATTGCTGATTAATTTCATAGTCTCGTCTTTATTACCCTTGAAATGATAAATAAATACTTCGCGTGTCTTCTGAAGGTTTGCACAATTATAAGGCTGCGTGCTGAGAATGTGTCGAACTGCTGGCACTCTACAGAACGTCCGTTTGGTAGATGCTGCGCGGCTTGGGTTTCGGCGCATTGCCCGTCTTGGTCGCCAAGGCTTTCAGCTCGGGCAGGAGTTCGCAGGATCTGCCGCTGGTGCTCTCGAAGAGCGCGATTGCCGCCGGCAGCACTCTGTCCACGAGAAACTGCTTATTGCGGCTGACGAAGTTCAAGTCGATCGCCGCAGACGGATCAGCCTTGAGGCCGAATTGTGCCACGAACAGCTCCTTCACCAACACCTCGGCATCCTGCTTCAGCGTCTCATACTTGGCCAGAGTGGCGCAGCTCAGCGTGGTGACGAAGAACTGCCGGCAGAAGTTCACCGTGGACTGCGTGAGGCTGATGAACGTGTCGCCCGTAACCAGAGGCTTCAGACTGATGCCGAACGCCTCGAACTCCTTCATAGTGCTCCTCAGGGCTTGCTTTGTGCGCAGATTGCAGGGCTGCCAGTTGTCTTCGATGCGCTGCGTAGCCCCAATCAGGCGCTCCTTCGCCTCCGCCAGCAATCCCTCGAGCGTGGGCCTCAGCAGCCCCTCTATGTGATAGCCCACGTCCAGGCCGATCTCTGTGAGCCGGCCACAGGGCACTCGCACGAGTTCCACGCAGTTCGCCACGGCCTCCAGGTCCGTTCCCTTGCCCAAGTAGTGCTTGATGAGCTGCGACGCGAAGTACTGCAGCTCCTGGTGACACCACACCACCAGGCTCGCCGTGCAGGCAGCCTGGGTGCCGAACGCACCCACAAACTCCGCTACCACCTGCGCCAGGTCGCAGAAGAAGATCTCAGCCACGCCCAAGTTGTTCCTCCTCGCCTGACGCTGAGCTGTGCGAATGGCCGTCGTGCAGACGCCGAGGAGGGCTCCACACGCTTCCCTGGCCTTTCGCATCTCCGCCAGCAGCTTCAGCGGCCGCCGCGCGGATCTGAGAGCCGCCTGAAGACTCCTGCTCTGACTGGCCGACAATTCCAGCAGCAGAACACTCACGAGAGAAGCCTTCAGATTTTTCATCTTCTCCCTCATTTCCGCCGCCCCATGAAATGCACTATCCCTGGCAAGGTATTCCTCACACTTCTGCAGCAATGCCAGGGTGTCTTCGAAGTGGCGCTGGGCAATCAATGCCTGGATCTCCTCCGGAGCTGAAGACAGCCAATCCGGCGCGAAGATGAGCGGAGTGTGCTCAGTTGTGGGACTCAGCGTGGCGTCGCTGGACAGACTCACAGTGTCCACAATCGATTTCTGTCTCACTGCCATCGGGGGCGCCGGGGCAGGGCCTTTCCGGTGACGCTGATGACCCTTCATGCTCACCTCGAACTTCTCAATCCACTCCGCCTTGGCCGACGGACTGATACACTGGAAGATGCGACTCCCGTCCGGCGTGATGATGTTAATGGCATTCCTCACGCCGTCCAAATCTCGGATGTTGATCACGGCCAGCTTCTTTGATTCATACTCAGCCAGAAACTCCAGATTCTTGTCATGCTTCACCTTCGCCACAATCAGAGTGTCGCTGAAGAGGAAGAAGTACGTGCGACAGATTGGCCGATAGTCATTGGAGTCCAACTCAATGAGACCTCCTTCGTGGACAAAGGTTTTGTTGTCCAGCACTCCCGAATAGCCGCTCAGGGACTCCCGGATCAGAGCAACAGTGTTGCGATTCTGTGTCTCTTCATTCGCTTTTGCGTCCAGACTTCGAGGGCCAGCCTCCTTGTCACCGGAGCCATCGCCGTCCAGCAACACTTTCCGTGGGTCATCCACCACGTGGCTCTCCCGGAGAGTGCCCAGCAGATTCCTCTGCTCAATGAGAATGTGGGAAAGTTGATACATCTCAGACTCCAGCTGCGAAATCTCCTTCGCCGTGTCGATGAACTTCATGTAGTTGTCGTACACGTGCTTCTTGAGGGCTGTGGACGTCTGATCACTGTACGTCTGGATCTTTGCCTTCCGCTGAAGCAGTTCAGGACCGCCGACGCACTCCTGGACAAGCCCTCGGACATCTGTGGCAGAAAATCAAAGTAATCATATTGCACCGTTATGTAATGAGAGTCTCAATCTCTAGCAGCTACTTACGGTCCTCCGCCTTGAAGCCCTTCGTGTCGAACACTGTGTTGGAGGATTCAGGCATTTTTCCTGGATAATTTCACGAGAAACAATTTTGTTTTTCGCCCCCTCGAACTCCACAAACGCGACTAAGTAAGGAAGAAAAAGAAGAATTCCGCCGCAACCTGGATTTGATACGCAGCCCAAACACATGTTCCTTTGAGGTTAGGTTAAGTGGACGCCACGCATTGGAACTTGCGAGGATTTCTCAACATTTCTGTGTAAATAGCTGGCTAAATTACCTGAATAGTCACGAAAATGGTGGATAAAGATCAACTGAACACCTGTATAATCAACTTGCGCGGAAATGTGGGCAAGGCGAAGACCAGGACGATTCACAAGCTCACGAGGAAGATCAAGAGTTTCGAGGTGGGAAAGAAAAAGAACCCGGAAAACAAGAAATTGACTACGAAAATCCAGAAATTCGTCGAGGAAATTGCAGTTCTGAAGGTATAAGATATGCGTTTATATCTTTCGTCAGGAGGGTGACTTGAATTGTTGGTATTTTTCCAGAAAATCGATCAAGTTGACAATGTGAAGAAGATCTTCAGCTACTCAGGCAAGCCGGAGAGCACAATGGCTAATGTGAATGCTACTCCGCTGGACAGGGCGATTGCCAAGCTGATCTACAACAATGAATTCCTGCGGAATATCATCAAGAAGAACAAGGAAGCGCTGAACCTGAAGGACGACGACGCGGAGTGGAAGGAAAAGCTTCTGACGATGGGCAAGAAAAAGCAGGCACAGCAGAAGAAAATCAGCAAAATGAATGAACAAAGCCTGCGTAGCGCCAAGAAGAAGGGAAAAAAGGACTTGGAAGACACTCCAGTCAAACAGAATGATGAGGATGCAAAGACTGCTTCTCCCAAGCAGCCTAAGAAACCGAAAAAACAGCTCAAAAAGGAGCGAAAAGATTCTGGCGGCGACGATGAAGGCGAATCGCCAAAATTCACGATAAAGCAGAAGAAGCAGGACAAGAGTGACAAGGTTCTGCACATGAATGCCAAGTCTAAGAAGATCCAAAAGGCGAAGGCAGGTCCCAAGAAGGCATGGAATGGAAATGCAAAGCCACCAAAGCCACAGTTTTCCGGAAAAGCCCCTGGGAAGCCTGACAAGCCCTTTAAGAAGGGAGTTGACAAGGAGAAGAAGACGAATGGAGCAGTTCATCCCTCGTGGGAGGCGAAGAAGAAGCAGAAGGCCACCATAGGAAAGTTTGAGGGGAAGAAGAAGAAGTTCCAGGATTGAAATCGTGTCCGGGAAGCACAATAGGTTCGATGCAATGGATCGGCATCACTGCGCTCGTGCTGCCCTCTACGACATTATATTTTTGACATCCGGCAATCCAAATTTGTTTTGGAGGTTTTGGATGAATTTCTATTAGAAATAAAGAGTAATTTTAAGTGTAGAGCTGATGAATTGTCTCGTGCGAGTTGCTAGCCAGTCTCGGTGGCTCAGCGGAATTCCTGGGAGTGCTGGGAAGTCCACTAGGTGAGTTTGATAGGTTACTCCAGGGGAAGTGTTCTGTGAACCACATTGGTTACTTTGCGTCTCTCTGCTGCAGGATTCTGGGATGCCTCGGGATTCACACAACGAGCTCCCGGCGAGATCTCATGGAGTTCTTTGATGATAAGAAGAATTGGGGTGAAATGGATGTGAAATGCGGGCGAGCGTGGACAAAGGATGAGCTGAGGATAAAGTCAAATGCTGACCTCCACAAGCTCTGGTATGTGCTCCTGAAGGAGCGCAACATGCTTATGACGATGGAGCACGAGTGCAAGGAGGAGGTGGAGCTGTTCCCCAGTCCGGAGCGCGTGGACAAGGTGAAGTTATCGATGGAGAACCTGGAAGTGGTTGTCCGGGAGCGCAACAAAGCATATCACTTGCTGGAGACTGGCGAGACCGGCGAGCGGCCCTCGGCGGAGATCACGGACGTGCTGGGGCTGAAGAAGGAGGTGATGTTGAAAGAGTACGCCACGCCGAAGACGAAGGAGACACTGCCACTTGTGGAGAGAGTGCCGGAGGACACGAGAGACTTCCTGCTGAAGCTCAAAGAGCAGGAAACTATCGCGAGGACGAAGGAGAGGAACAGGAACCGCAACCACGTGATGAAATTGCTGAGGCGCTTCCCCAATATGGACAAGAAGATGCTGGCCGAGAAGTATCCGGACGTGGACATCGATAAACTCCTGGAGAAAGATCTCTGTCGCGGTCATTTCGTCCCAAATTCCAACTGAATGGAAGCATTTTGTATAGATTCTGAAGCTGAATAAACGAGGATTTGATTAGAAATTTATCATTTTATTCACTTTTTTTCATAATATTTGCATTACAACGATTAATATCATTATACAAATATATATATCGTAAAACATAAACTATCCATAGCATTTTATTATGTTTTTCTTCTTCTCGAAATCTCAACTCTTTCTCTTGCCTCACAAGATCTTTTCCCAATAAAGCCTTTCAAGCGATGATTCTTCGCGTTTGTGCTTTTCCACTGGATTTTTTTCTGTCTCTGATTTTGTGTATTTACATTAAAAAGAGAATAAAATGGTTGGCTCCTGAGGAAAGGAAAAAAAAAATTAAAAATCACCTCTATTCTGTGCGTAGAAGAGTTAAAAATTAGGTGTATGAAAAATTGAAAAGATTAACTTTTAGTTAATAATATTCTCTATACAATCCTTGTAATTATTCTTCTCTTTTATCTTCTCTTTTTTTTTTAATAAAAATACTACTCTACTTTTTAATATATCTTCTTCATCTCTATAATCAATTTTTTATCAGCTTCGATTCTCCAGAAATCTTTTATTTTCTCTTAATTTTACTACCTTTAATATTTCCTCTCTTCTCCCTCTCATCATCTATTTATAATGTCTTGATAACATTTTCCTCCGTCTAATTTTTCATTTAGTTGTTTCTCTCCTTCTCATTTTCTTGGGGAATTCTCTTCATCTTCAATTCAACTTCCATCATTTCTCTATGTCTAGTTTTCTCAATTTTTCTGGCACTTTAAATAGCTTATGTTTTATTTTATAAGAAAGAGACTTTCTTCTGCATTCTTTTTTTCACCGCTCTTTTTTCTCTTTCTCGTGACAAAGTTTTGCTTCCTTTTTAGTATTAGTTTCAATGCAATTTCTCCCTCATTTTTTCTCTTCTTCTTCTTCTTCTCTTTTACAGCGATAGTGAAAGTGTGAAAAAATCTCTCTGGCTAGATTCTATTAGCATTAATTTCCTTCCATTGAGGAGCTGAGAAAAATGCTAAAAAGCCCAGCAACATGAAATCCACTCAATTAGCAATTAATTGAAAGAAATGTCTCACATTCTTTTACAATATTTCTCTTTCTTGCCAAGTCAATCCACACGTGATGGCGCGGATTTGCATAAACTATTTCACTTCACAGAGCATTTTTCTCCACTTTTGTCTTTGTGTCTGCTCTTTTTCTTCTTCTTCTTTCTCTCTCTCTCTCTCTCCTCAAAATAATGGGGGGCACATTTAATTAACTTTCTCGCTCGTTCCAGCATCTTCGCCTCTTTTCTCTCACACTTTTAATACTTTATACACAGAAAATCTTGTAATCTTGCCTCTATCACGCCCTCTTCTCTCTTTCAGCGCCTCCGGCCAATTCTGCTACCCTTAAAATCGTTTAAATCTACTCGTTGGACAATTAAAATACTTTAAACTTATCATTACTTATTACACATGTGACAAATTGATCCACTATGTTTTTTTTCTCTACTTTTCCCCATCCTTTTCCCTCTCTACTCGCTCACTGCCTTTCCTCCCCCACCCCCCAGCCCTTTAAAAAACAAACGTCCACAATTAAACTGGGTGTGTTTCTCTCTCTCTCTCTCTGACATTTGCTCTATACAAAGTTAAAAAGTCAAATTTCTATTCCTCCCAAGAGAGAAACTTCACTCTCATTCGTCGTGTTTACAGAATAATAGAACCACACACGACATGAAAACCTAAACATTCCACCCTCCCGCACTCGTGCACACAATCAGAAGAAAAGAAACTGCGCTACACATGTGTTTCCCTTTTCTTTCTTTTTTTTTCTTTTTTAAAAGAGACGCTCTTAAAACATTGGCTCGTAACTGTGAACTAGACACTTTTTCTGAGTTGTGGAGGATTTTTTTTTTCTTGTTGAATTAAAGCAGAACACACTTGAAGCGACGATGAGATCCATTTTTGGGATTTTTGCTCTTCTTCTTCCGCTGCTCCTTGTCTTTGCGAATCTCACGCACGAGCGTGTAGAAAGCATCATCGACGCCCATCCTCGTCTTGGCTGAAGTCTCCACAAATGGGATTCCGTACTGTTTGGCCACCTAAATTTTGCAGAGACAGTGAAGAGAGAGACAACAAAGAAGCACAGTGAAACATTAGACGCAATTGTGCAATGTACAAAGACAACTCCTTTCTTACATCTCTCGCTTGGCTCATGTCAACGGCCCATGCCTGCAAATCACATTTGTTCCCCACCAACACCATCGGCACTTCTTCGGCATCCTTCACGCGCTTTATTTGCTCACGATATGTTCCTGCAACGACACGAGGAGAAGCTCTCTTTAGAAATATAACATATCACCTCCTCCATTTCCTCCCCATCAGATGGTTAATATTTGTTATTTCTCTCTCTCATCGTTTTTCCTCATTCAATAAATTTATTATTCCAATGTTGAAACAAAGCAAATATTTAAGATTTAAATCAATAAACACATTAATCTCACCAATAATATTCCCCGCGCAGTCATTCAAAGTCAAGATTGGCAAGACAAGCAACTTAATTCCCAACAATGCAATGGAAAATTGTCTCAGGCAACACACAAACTATTAATCGCAATAAATTGATAACAATCGCTCAGGGCGCCCGACAAGTAACATAAACACTGTATTATCATCAATTAATGTATGACAGAGTTAAAAAATCATCTCAGCTGCTCAGAGACACAAATTCCAAAGCCAACAGATAAGCCCCAATGCCCAGCCATTCTCTCCGCACACTCTCTTTCTCCCATCTTCCTGATATGCCAAAATATTATTGATGCAAGAATCTAAGAATAGAGAAAAGAGAATTCCCATGAATTCCACATTCACTCACGCGCACCCAAAACTCACTCTCACTCTTTGGGCCTGTCAATAAACACAATCATCGCGAGATCAAGATTGCCCGCAATCACTCTGGGATGATTTCGAGGAAAAGTGCGGCATTCTCCATCGAGGTGACTCAATAAATTCCCTCCAATTCCCAATACAAGAGAATATAAAAATGAAGGGGGGAAAAATTGGTGACCCATATCGGAAACCCATCTATAAAATCCTCACACACTCACGCGCGCAAAGTCACACACATGATATTCAAGTGCGCGCGCGATACCGGACAAATATAAACGCCACTGAAAGACCGTGAAAACAATAAAAAGCGCCTTATCGCGAAACTTGAATAGAAAAACCGCCAAATTGAAATTCATTTTACCCACACTTTTCCCACCGCCCAATTCCCCCTCTCCCATTTTCTCACCTATATCCTCGAAGCTTTTGGCACTGTTGACTGCAAAGACAAGGAGGAATCCCTCGCCCGTTCGCATGTACTGATCCCTCATCGCCGAGTACTCCTCTTGGCCGGCCGTGTCCAGGATGTCCAAGAGGCACGTTTCGCCATCTGCAAAGAGCACAAAGTCAGCGATCAGTCGTCCTGTAAGCTTCTCCCGCAACAGTAATTGGTCTTCGAGTGATGAATCATGATTTTGAGAAGCAGTAAAGAGAGATTTCAGCATCGCCAAACTAACTGAATCACATTCACCGCATTCCATCTGAAAGAATGTTCTCAAAAAGCTGCTGAACTCTCAGCTCTGGTCAAGAAAACATTGGAAATGCATATAAAATTGTAGTGCCAAATTTTAATTCCCATTTTGTGATGTTTGCTGATGAGATTTGCCCCTAAACAACAAATTCAGTCATCTGGGAAGGATTTTTCAGCAACTCAGAAATTACCTAAATATTGAGGTAAAATAAATTCCTTTAGGATTCAACGGAAGATCATTTTCAGCTAATATTCTCAGCTGCGAAGAAGCAGATCGCTTTCGGTGATATCAATCAATTAGGCGTAATTGATGGGATAAGAAAATAAGAAGGCCGTCGCTGGAAAGTCTAATCTAGTCTAATACCATGACGATTGCAGATATAAAGGAATATCCCAGTAGAAAGAAACCATTTGTATTTATAAAGAAGTTGGTAAATTTAAAGCAATTTCTTCTTCAGAAATTTGTCAATCGCAGTTCTCTTATGCGAGAAACCCTAAACAAAATTGCAATGACTTTGGGAAAGCCTTTGTAGTTGATTTACTTCAAAACTGAGGTGTCCTGAGAGCCAAAGACGTAATGTAAATTCTACAGCCAGAGCTAATCTTGCTCTCTTCGCGTACAAAGACAGCCATTTGGCACTCACACTGCAAGTTGAAACACCTGAGAAGAAATCGTACAAACCTTGCGGTGCACAGACAAGTTCTGAGGCCCCAGAGTAGGGCTGGTGATGGGTTTTGGGGAGGAAAATCAGCATCCCGCGACTTGACATTGAGTCAGCCTCGAGAAAAGTCGGTGGAAAGCGCTCTCTTGGCGGAGAGCCGGAGAGCGCACGGGAGTGACGGAGAGAGATGGAGGTTGTCGCGGAGCGATGGAGTGCGTGATTCATAGTGGGGAAGAGGGACGACACGACGTGGCCGCGGGATGATGAACTCTGGCCACTAATCAATCCCAATTGTGGATCTGACAGAGACGGCGAGAGCGAGCCGTGGCCAACAAGGGCGGATTCTCTTGGCAAACAAAACAGCCCAAAACCCACGGGAGTCACGCTGTCCGCGGCTCCTCTTGTCGCCCAGCGAGCCTCTTGCGCGGCCGGGAAGCGCGGGGCGCGGCCGGGGGCGCCGGGGGTGGGCCAGGACGGCGCGGAGGAGCAACAATCTGCCCATTTTGATGGCGCCACACGGCCGAAAGAGACAAATGGCGCAGTCACACGCACTTTGGGGCGAATTCTGCGGAAAATTACTCACCGATGACCACTTGCTTCCTGTACGAGTCCTCAATTGTGGGATCGTACTCGTCCACGAAGTGATTCTGGATCAGCTGGATGGTGAGGGCGGACTTGCCGACACCGCCAGCGCCCACCACCACCAATTTGTATTCCGTCATCTTGGCCCTCTCTGTCCTCCTGCGCGGCCCTCACGATCCGGAAAGTCACCTCAGTCGCCCGTCCGATGGGGGCTCGCCCGTGGCGCTCCTCGTGGACACTCTCGCTGCCACCGGGGGCGCTTCAGCCTCAACAGACACGCCTGGTTGTGGAGAGTGACTCTTGGGGACTTTGCTCCCTCTCGCGATCCGACTCCACTCACTCTCCCGCAGCCGCGAATGCAACAAATTGGCCAAAATGGGCGGAAAAGGGAGGCCAAAAGGACAAATTCTAAGCACTCTCGCAGCTCTATTCGCCACGCACTCACGCACTTTAACACGCACTGTACACTCCCGAGTGGACTCTAGATTGCTCTCGAGTCGCCAGCATCAATTTTGATCCACTTTTCACGGGTATTTTGCGGAAAATGTCGCGACAAGCCCGACCATCGATTTGCCACTGTTCGCCCTGCAATTTCCCCAGCGGCGAAGTCGCCTCAAGAGCCATCTGCAGGAATATCTCAGCAACCCCAGATGGGATATTTTTCAAACAAAAACCGCGAATTCATGTATTTTCTAAATTTTATTCAGACAATGCGCGAATAAAGCAAGTGAAAATACCAGAAAATGCCACTGAAATTGCAAGAATTGCAGAATGATTCCCTTAGAGAAATATATCCACTGTATAACAGTTCAGCCGCACGACGAGTTCGCAAGTAATGACGTCACGCGCTGTCATGCGTATATATATTTTGTTGTCAAGTGGATCGCTCAGGCATTTTTTGTTTACCACTTCTATGCGATTTTTCAGGCAGTTTTCGGCCATGGCTACTCCAGGAATCTCGTGTAAGTGCTTCCCTGTGCCATCAACTACCTTATTCACTTGCCTAACTCTACTTTCCTGCAGCCTTGCGATACAAATACATGGAGCGAAGTGAAGCCTTCAAGGAAGACAGCCTCGTGAAGAAGGAACCCTTTTCGCTATTCCGGGAGTGGTTTGAAGAGCTTCTCAAGGATCCGGCTGTCAATGAGCCCAACGCGATGTGCCTCTCTACCGTGGACAAGTGTGTTTTAACTTGGTTTTGGATAGAAATTATGGAAATTTTATGAGATTTCTTGTCTCTCGGACAGAAATGGGCAGCCGAGATCACGATATGTGCTGATGAAGGGCTACACAGACGATGGAATCACGTTCTTTACCAACTACGAGAGTAATAAGGCCAGGGATATGCTGGAGAATCCGAAGGTGGCCCTGAATTTCTACTGGTTCGCCCACAAGCGGCAGATTCGCGTCGAGGGAGTGGTTTCCAAGGTTACACAGGAAGAGTCTGAAGAGTACTTCCGCTCCAGGCCTGTGGACAGCCAGATGAGCGCATCCATCAGTCAGCAGAGTCGCAGAGTGCCCAGTCGGGCGCATCTGGACGAACTGATGGAAGGCGTGAAGAAGGAAACCGAGGCGGCGGGAGGAAAGGTGCCCATGCCAAACTGGGGCGGATATCTGGTGAAGCCGCAGCTGTTCGAGTTCTGGCAGGGGCAGTCCAACAGACTGCATGACCGCATAGTGTTCAGACGATCTGCAGGCGTGGAGAAGGAAGTTGACGGCGTGTTGACGAAACAGGGCGAAAATGGGTGGGTTTTTGAGCGTCTCGCTCCCTAATTTCTAGTCATTCTGCCAAAATTCACTGTCTTCCAACATTATCTCACAACAAGAGCCACTCAAATGTTGAATTATCTGATAAGGAGTGCGTCTATAAATAGACTTTAGACGATGAGAGAGTGTATAATTCCGACGAGACAATAAAAAAAACACTGCAATATTGCTTGAAGAACAAAATATGGTGGATTTTGTGTATTTAACTCTCACGGGGAGGGGAAGAAAAGAGATGTGAAAGAATGATGCTCACAGAAATTGGACGAGATCAAGATGTTGGATAAATTAGCAATGCTTCTTCCATACAACAGTAATCATTTGAATTAATACATAATTTATAAGCTACCTTTGTGGCTTCGCGGATTCTTCTTCGCTATACACAAACTGTATTGCTCTCAGAAAGATTATCTCGGTTTTTAGGAAACATTTTCTAGAAGTCAAGTATAATAATATTCTTCATCTGTTGATTTTTTCTCTCAAATGGGGTGTTTGTTTAACATTAAATGGCAATTTGGGTACATTATACATATTTTATCATCTCTTTCTCACATATTCTTTTGGTTCCATGAAAGGTATTATAGACATCTTGTTGCTCACGCTCCTCAAATATTACTCATCTCACAATTTTTTTTTTCATCTTATTTTCCATGTCTAAAGAGAGGTGACTGCAAAAATATCACAGTTTTACACTATTCAGCAGTCTTGGTTTAAATTTAGAGATAGATCTTTAACTTCACAATGCGGAAAAGGAAGGTGGAATTCTTCTTCTCTTTATCATATAGTCTAACGTGGGAAATTGAACAATAAAGGCTGTATTACAGAACACATTCACACAATATCTTCTCAAGGATTCAGTGCCATCAAATTACTCGCTATTCTATTCTATACATTTCCTGTGGATTCTCCATGAACAAAAGTCGTACTTCATGTACTGTATATTGGCTTTGCTGCAGCATAGCAGGGCAATTTTCTCGGGAAATCATTAAAAACATTCATAAAGTATCATATATTCAGTGCGATGCTTTGAGGAAATCGGAGAAATGGGAGATTTTTTTGCCATCATACAAATAATAAATAAGGCATTTGAGTGAACAGGAATGTGAGAATTTGCCAGAGACGAATGTAAATAAAATTGCCCTGTTCATAAAGCTGCAGAATTTCCGTTTTACATTGCACAAAAGACTTTTTCATATAATATAACATCACTGCTCAGGTTTTGTGTCGCTGAAACAAGGAAATGGGAGAGAATATTGAGTGTTATTCTCTTCCCATCGAATAATTCACATGAAATCCAAATAAAATCTCGCTCGAACAAATCTCTAGCCAAAAGATAATACAATTGTGTCGATTCACACATGCGTAACTATTAAATTGAATTACTATACTTCATGGGGACAAGCTAATAAACAACTTGAGAGTGTGCCTGCGGACTGGCAATGAAATCTTCACTAAGTTCAGGACTGTGCCACTTTTACCCGTAATGCGGTGGAGATTAGCATGTTGTACAGCACAATATGCAAGACCATATCTGCTACCCATTGTCATGTACAAAGCCACTGCGTGTACGCAAAAGGATGTGTAAATAAAGCAAAATGTAAATTTCGTTGCTTTTTGGTCCTCGCAAAAAGGGAGCTGAGAAGGAGATGGAAATAATTGGTGAGTGTGGTGTGGAATTACATTATCTTACGCACTTTGCGTATAAACGTAAAATTCTCATATTCGTGGAATGTTTGAGAGCAAATTCTCCGGTTTTTGATTGTAAAAAGGTGTGTGCCAATAAAAAATTGGGAGCATAAAGGAAAATAGGAAAATATCTTCTAGGCAAAATATTCTTTTTAATTAGTTTCTTCATCTTCTCTCTTCTATCCATGCTCAGCAGCACGTCAAAAGGCATTTTATCTCAATTACTCTTTATGTCTCCTCACATTTTTTTTCCGCCACTTCTACTTTTTGGCTTTTTCTTCAGTAGCCGAAATTTCAAAAGAGTGCGTGTGTTTATTTTTCTCCTTCGCAAATGATCTCTGTCTCGGCTTCTTGTTTTCATATACATTTCTCAGATTCGCCGAGTGTCGCTGAAGACAAATGAGGTGTGCAGAGACCAAAGGAAAATTGCTACAGCCCCAGAAAATTCGCAGGAAGTTAATTTTATACGCAAGTATTGGGAAGAGTGGCAAGAACGAGCGTTTTCATGCCTGACAATGTACACCGCGAGCGCTGATGTCCAGTAATTTCCACTGATGGACTCAATTGGTGGGCAATTTTTTCGGTAGGGTTTGTCTTAGTAATACTCTTTAGTAAAAATAAACACTGTGCACGGCGTCTGTGTACACTGTCGGCGCGTAAACGGCCCGCCTTGCGTGAAGAAGAGCACTCAAAGAGAATGTGGCCAATATCTTTAACTTTCTCTCTCGCGTCAAAGTTCTCACGATGGGCCAATCGAGGAACTTTGCTCGTGATATGTTAAAAGAATATTTAGAAAAATAAAATTCGTTGAAAACGTCTTTTCCTGCTCTGGAAATCACTGCGATTTCCTCACTCAACTTGCTCAACTTACTCAAATTCTTAATTTGATTATTTATGTATATCGCAGTATTAGGAATATTCCTTCTTCCTTAACATGTTATTTCAATGTTGATTTTCTCTGCTAAACTAAACACTACAATTAAATTTCAATTTTTATCTACTTAACAATTTAATCTTATTAACTCTGTGGGTGTCTTATAGCGTGAACAAATCGTGTCTCTTCGTTGCCAAACAATATAATTTTTCGTGATATGTCCAATGGAGAGAGATTGGCAGAGGACTTGCGGAAAAATTACATTGTTCCTTTTCCATGTGGGGCTCAATGTTCAATTTGTTGTTGCAACGTCTCGGAAAATAACTCTTATAGCGCCTAATTGAAATTCTTTCTTTTACATTCTACACAAGATTATTTTTAATTCCTTACGATTGTATATTTTGAAGAATATAACTTGTCATGCTTGAATGTTTTGTCTTGAGAGATAAGGGAGGAAATATTAATTTTTTTCTCAATTGCTTGGTAATTTAGAATATATTCACTCATGTAATGTGGGATAAAAACTACATCAAATTGCAATTAATTGTTGGTAAAATCCGTAAAATCTAAGATCATCTTCTTTCTTTACCTAAATATATGTCATCTCTGGGATTATCCATTCACAATTGAGGTTCCACTTAATCTAAAATGGTATCTCTGCACTTGCCTAACATTATGTATATTATTATGTATAGATATATAGAAAATATAATCTCTACTCGCGGAAATTCTCTCTACAATGTTATATCGAGGGATGAGATGTGAAAAGGGAGGTCTTCTTAGGCGCCACTGAGGTCCTTGATGGCCTGCAGGATCCTCTTCACGTGGCCCACCTTCGTCACGCCCAGATCCTTGAGATCCCGCCTGCCCAGAGTGAGCAGCTCCTTGCCGCGGATGTCGTTGCGCGAGAAGCTCTCCACGTACTCGGCCAGCTGCATCGCCTCCAGCCACGTGGTCACTTCCGTGACGCCCCACGTGGACACGGTGTCCCTGGTGTGGAGATCCCTGGTATTGGGGGTGCTGTCGCGGCTGCGGAAGCGCAGCCAGAAGGGCTTCGACTTCTTCCGACCGTGGTCGGTGTCGTAGTTTGGCGCCAGGACATTTAGGTAGGCCTTCGGCTTTGCCTTGCCATCCTTGTGGATGGTGCACTTGCGCAGCTCCATCTCCATGTTGGCCAGTGAGACGCTCAGCTTCGTCTCGAGATCCTCCCTCAGGATTAGGCTCGACCCGCGAGCTCGCAAGAGATCACACGTCTCCTCGTAGAGATGCCTGGAGCACGTCACAACCTCTGCCAACTGTGACCGCAGATTGGGACCGTCTATGATCTTCCCATTGGGATGAATCGCCTCCAGGGCTTCAGATGTTCGACAAGCCACAGCATAGAGTTCGTGCTGAAGCGACGGGTGACTGATGATGAGGAACTTCACCCACTTCACTAGCGATGAGGACACTTCGATGAAGTTGAGCAGGAGATAAGACTCCCGCTCGGAGAGGAATTGGTCAGATCCCACTCCAATATCTGACGTGGTGGATGTTTGCTCCCTGGCGATGCTGATGCTGTGCTGTCGCTGCTTCTCCTGCCAGCTCTTCAGCGAGATTTCCAGATTCCTATTCCGACAGAGCATCTGACAGCGGTTCTTGTGAATAATCCTTATCATCCCAGGGGGTTGAAGCCAAGCCTCGCCGTCAACCTGGATCGGCATGTCCTCATCACCCAAGATGTTGATCTGCACACTCTGACACTGCGCAATCCGGTGATGCTGCAGATTTATCAGCCTCGATGCCGCCATCTGAACCGATCCGAACACTGCCACCACTTCCAGGATCCTGTCATCGAAGCTCGGCGCCAGGAAGCAATCGTTCTCCTTCTTGCCACCCCAAAAATTAGTACCGCCCATGAAACTGGGAATATTGAGCACCACGATTCCCTGGAGAGACGGCAATGGAATCCTCTGGCCATCGCACTCGAGTTGCACTCGCTGCTCCAGGTTCTTGTAAGTCTTCTGGAGCCACTGCTTGGACCCCAGCACGCCGTACCACATGTAATTCTTAGCCCGCGATCGGCACTTCTCTGGATGTTCCTCGCGCTTGTTGTGGAAGTCAAGCGAGATCTTCGCGTCGATCCCGATGCCGAAATAATTGTTCATCACGCACTTCTCGTAGAATCCCTCGAGTAGAGTCTCGTCGGGATCCATCAGTGGCGAGACTGCTGCACAGAGAGTATCAGCATTGGCCAGGAGACACTTGGAAATGAATCCAGTGCCGCTGGTAACATCTACAGAACACACAACATGAATAGAAAGAAATAAGAGAGAGAGAATTAGTATGATTTACTTGGCCAGGAAGGCAATCGCACGAGTGGATTGATGATGGGAAGCCTCTTCATCTTCTGATCGTCCTTATCCTGCTTGCTCTTGTCATCCTTCTCGTCCTTCCCATCCACCCCTGCCGCCGTACTGCCCAGTAGGTTCGCCTTGGACAGGCCAATGGGCAGGGCTTCGTTGGGCTTGTACAAACTTCCGCAGCTGATGCGGCGCGATGCCGCCGGAGAGCAGCTGAGGAAGCGCATGTGCTCCTGATCCAAGCCCAGGAGGTTGGGATTGTAGCCCGAGTGGCGACGATCGCGCTCTCGCTCGTATTCGCGAACATTGTTCGTTAGACTAGGAGAGTGACTGGAATGACGACGAATCTCGGCGGAGCGCTGCACTCGGAGCTCATTAGTAATTGCCGGGGAAGGGGGCTCCACGACTACACTTACCTTGGGAAAGTAGGGTGATGATCTCTGGAATTGTTCAAAGCAGAACAATGGGTCGTCAGAGAGCAGTTGGTTGATGTAATACTCATTGTACAGTACTTGATCGGCTGACTCCTTCTTGCACGACTCATCGAAGCTGATGTGGCGCCTCGTGTCCGGCTTCTTAAAGGTCTCTGTGTCTGAAAGATCGGAATGTGATCCCTGTATTTGGATTTTGATTGTGTCTAAATTGTCACCACTCTCCTGTGGTTCTGACTTGCTTTTTGAGGCACTTGCAGTTTTCGGTCTCTGCAACGACATACACTATTATTAACATCCTTACATCACACCTACTCTCAGTTCTCTACCTTGAAACTCTTCCTTGCAATGTCGTTACCCTCGACAAATTGCGCTAGGCTACAGTATCGGATGGGTTTGTCCTCCTTCCGGTGGTCAATGGTGAAGACCATGTTTTCATACCCGAAAGGCTGATCTTCGGGCTTGTTCTCCTTCTCCTCAGACACCGTTTCGTGAACTGTCTTCCCGTTGGAAGAGAGCTTCTTCTTCAGTGATCTCTTCCTAGGCTTCTCAAGAGCACACAGCGTCGTGGTGTCCTCTGTGATGGTGTTGTCTTGCAGAGCACCTAGAATGTCCTGACCTAGCACTGAGCTTATGTCATCCATCAGGCTCTCACCATGGAGAGCGTCCGTTGTATCACTCGTTTCCGGCGAATCGATGTGGCATATTCGATCGGACTCGAGATCCTGCAACAGCGCTGCTTAGCTTCACACTGATTCAGTAGAAATCGTCAAGCTATTACCTGAATCTGCTCCGCGACGAAGCCCTGAGGATCCGCATCGGGTGGTTTATCCAGGATCTCAGAGGTCACGCTGCACTCCTCGTTGCTAATGGCCGAAAGTACATCACTGGCCTCCCCGGGCAAATCCTCCGAGGATGACCTGTCTGGTGCGTCTGTGTCGATGATGGTCATATTATCACTCGTGTACACATTGCTGATGGGTTTGTCGGGGACAACAATACTGGGTACTATGATAGACTCCACAGCGAATGCGTCAGAGGCGGCGCCATCGAAGGATGGCCTCTGTTCCGCGGGAAATCGCTCGGGAATGGAATCAACGGTGAGGAAGTCACTCTTCACCTCGATCGAGGGCGGTTTGAGGGTCTGTGGTGATGTCGATGAGGACCTTCGTCTCTCATCTAGCTTGCACAATGGGAAAAGTTTCTCTGTGTTGCTACTGGCTTCCTCCAGCTCTTGGATACTGAGTGCGAAGGGAAGGAATTATATGTTAGATTTGACTTGATACAGGCTCTGGGACATGGATATGGTTACCTCTCTGGGATCCCTGAACTACGGCGACTGCCGTTGTCGGCAAACTGCTTGGGCACTGGGATACTGAGAGTGTTGAAGAAGTACTCATCGGTGGAGTCGCGCCGTAAATCTGGCAGTGGAGATATGCAAGAGAGGTGGGTCATCGAGACCGTGGGTGAGATAATATTGATGGGTGGTATTTGGAATGAGGGGGAAGGGCAGGGGGACGACTCAAATGAGGGCGTATGGACTGAAAGAACATGCAAACATTTAAGACATTTGTTCCAACATATATGCAGGATAACATTGAACTATCCTATCTAAAGGCATTTCGTGCTCACTTTTTAAGCTGTCGGCCTGCGTGGAGAGTCGCCGGAAGTATCGCGGTTTGATCCGCTCGGAATGCTTCACTATATTACTCACGGCCCGCTTAAGGCTGTTGGCACGTGATATGAGAGCCTCCTTCTCGCACAGCTTCTGCCGGCTGCGGCGCTCCTTTGTATTGAGTTTATCCTTTTCTGTCTTCTCGAATGTTACCTTTTCACACCTGCACGTGGGACATTTGTCACGATGGAAAATCACTTCAATCACATGAAATACTCACGTGCTGGGGCGTCTCTCTGCCAGGCTCCTCTTGGCGATGTCATTGAGAGTCCGCACGAGGTCATCATCCCCGTGGATGCCACTCTCCTCCTCCTGGAGCGTGTCGAGCAGCATCACGAGCTTGTGTCGCAGAATATCACACTTGATGCCCAACTGTTCGTCACTGCGAACGCAGTCCGCGATCCTGGCCAGCAGGGTATTGACTGTGTCGCAGAGATCCTTCGTGGCGGCTATTATCACTTGCAAGTCCTCCGTCTCGAGGAGGGCCTGGAGATGCCAAGTTGTGGTCTCCTCCACATTGCTGAGGTACGGATCGGGGTGGTTCGAGATGGACATCTTGGGCGTTCGCATGCCTCCGATGGCCCTCTCGAACACCATCACACTCCATCGGTCCAGCATCTTCGTGCTGGCTCTCTCGTAGCGCTCCACGAGCTGCGGCAGATGCGTGTCATCGTCACATGATGAGCCCCAGCCCAACACTCGGGCCAGGTCATTCCCGGTTCCCAGTGGAAGAACCGCAATCTGGCATTGCTTCTGGAAGTAAAGCCACCATCCAATGATCTGTCGCGCACCTCACACCAGTACTTGCTACTCACATTCATGTCCAGACGATCGATCTCGCTGAGCACCCATCCCACGGATCCGTCCCCGGAGCATACGAGGATCCGGAAGGGGTCAAAGTGGCGGAAGAGGCGCAGTCCCAGGCCGGGACCCGTGGAGATGAGATCAAACACCTGTGCGGGATTGAGGAGCTGCTTGAAGCGTCGCAGGAACTTCACGCCTTGATTATCGCCAGACTTGGAGTTGACGAAGACAAGGAGTGGCGAGAAGCTTCCATGAGGCTTCACCACATCCCAGGCCTCGTCCACGCCGACCGAGTGGAGAGCCGTTGGTGGCACCACAGACACGCGGACTGGGCCCAGGGGGCAAGTCATCTGCATGTTGGGCCGACAAGCCGTGTGAACAGTGGCGCGACACCACAAACATCTCCAATCCTGCAATCTGAAAAGTCGTAAAAAAAACCCTAAACTCCCGCTTCTTCTGAACAACTTTAAAGCATTGTGCTTTTGTCGGAGAATTTGCTCTCACGATGGGATAACGCGACAAAAGAGCAGAGATGAAAAGCCAATTTCTAATACACTAACCACACAATAGCACAAAAGTCAGTCAATAAATTTGTCTGAAGTGAAATTCTTTGGGGTATTGAAGACAAGAATTTTCTCATGTTCTCAAGGGATAACATTTTGTCTGATTCGTTGGTTCATGCGAGGGACGAGAGCGCTTGTGGTGTGCATAATGATTGCTCGATTTGCATTGAGTGCACTTGGTGAGAAAAGTATTTCTCTCGAGACAGCAATATGTTCATTCTCCAAGGATAATCGATATGTTCCCGAGAAAGGTTTAATTTTGCCCAATCCCCCTGGACTGAATGTAAATTCTCCCTAGAATAGAGGCGAGAATAGGCCATAAATCACGACGGATTGAGACTCACCTGAGCACCGAGCCACACGTTTTCTTGCACACAGCGCACGTTGCCGCCACCGGAAGATTACCCTCCATCCACTGATGCGGCATGAGGATATTGCCGTCGTGATCCTCGATGATGTCCTTCCCCACGCTGGCCAGTGTTGTCCACTTGCAATTGGCGATGGCTTTGGCCGCGCACCGCTTGTGCACTTTCCACTTGCACACCTCGCACGACAGGCCGTGAGACGTGACTCCGGACAGCGCTTCGCGACACACATTGCAGTATGTGGGCCGGGCGTGCGACGTGGCGTACCAGTGGTGGTGGTTGGAGAGGAAGTCCGGGTCCGAAGGGCCTGGCTCGAAGAAGTCCTGGGCCGAGGCGGCCTTCAGTGCTGCCAGCCAGTCCTCCATCTCACGTCGCGATTCTGCACACAGCACGAGACTCCGAGTCGGTGTGATGACCTGCAAAACAGAAATGCGGGAGCAAATTATGCATGTGACCTTTGCCCGCGGGGTCCAGCTGGTAACCCGTTAGAGTGGAAATCAATAATTGCGAATATCACAGAGCATTCCACTTTTGGTGTGCATGATTCGACCAACATGCAAATATTTACCAACGCGCGGATGGAAATGCGAAATTCTACAATTGAAGAGCTCTCAATCGTTAATTATTGCACTAATGAGTTTGGGCGACGGAAGCTGCGGCAAATATTTATGTATTTCGAGATTTTTGTTGGTTTACAATAAACTCTTAATTAATATAACTGTGAAGAGAGAATTTTTATAATAATTGTATGTAATTAGTCGCCCCAAATGTTACGTACGAAAGGATCGTTGGTTCACAAAGGAATATTGTAAACCACAAGAACCACATGTGTATGTTGTTCAAAAGTTGAATACAATTCCCTGTTCTGTCGTTTGGAATTGTCCATATCTATTTACCCCCAAATTAACTATGCACCGTATTTAAGTTTGACGTAGCATTGCAATTCAACTCAATTACAATTGAAATGAATTTCTATTTGACTGGGATTCAAACTTGCTACTATACATACTTTTTTTCACTATTACATTGCATTACAAGTTACATCATATTCTCGAAGCAATTGCCTTTTTATTAATCAGGAGGTAATAATGGAACTGTGATTGAAAATATACTTGAAATAAAACTGCTTAAACAAATTATTACTCTATGAAAATTTTACAAACTTGCGAATTTCTTTTCCTGTTTTTACTGTGTATTAAGAACAGCTAACTATTCTCTTGTGCATTTCAACACGATTTGATATCTCAAACGCTGAACTCAATTATAATTTTTTCAGCAAGATCACCGAACTGCTAGACTGTCATATTTAACGGATAAGCTTTGAGGAATGGTTATTGCATACATACAATTGATACACACTGTCAACAATTCTTTGAAAAGTGAAAAATCAATGAAGCTAAAAGTTAGCGCAATGAAAAGTGTTAACCAACTATGCGTATTACGAATCTGTTTGTCCCTTATTTCCTTGGTTATTGCATTTGCATAATTCATAATGCACACACACAACGAGGGGTCCCGACCACTAGACGATCACAGCCAATTTATAATGACAATATTCATTAAATATTTAAAAATCATATGTGAAAATGAACACACTTAGAAACTGGAATTTACATCATAGCTATTAACTGCGGTCGGTGAGAAAGGACAACTTTGACGAATTCAAAAACTAAGCGTGAAGGAGCGTTTCGTGGATTTAGGGAACAGCGAAATGTAGTTGCGCCATGTTTGTTTATTCTCTACGCCATTTTTCAACTTAATTTCTTGAATGTTTTTATGTTCTGCTTATACTAAAAACTTTCTGCTACATCGTTACTCACTGAAACGTATGTCATAGCGCCAAAAATGTGGCGTTTACGCATATGAAACTGTTTGTTTATATTTGCCGGGTCACCTTAGTTCACTTTGAAATTGAGTTGGTCACCAAGAGAATCTCGTCTACCATGAAAGCACATGCCGAGCCAGTGCTTGTCTTCAACTGTATGCAAATATAATTTGCTTGGCTTCAGGTCGATTTTCAGTTTAAGTGCAACAGTCAAACTTTGCGGAAGGATTTTCGCTTGAGATCGCAATATGAAAGTTTCCAAGCAAATGGAGAAGTTCTACTGTGAAAAACCAGTGTTCGATTTCCAAATCTCGGCTTTAACAATCAACGTCTTTTCTGGGCCGTGGAAAAATCGACTTCTAATCATATTTTTGATGCCATGTCCTTTTCTTGCACTGAAATTTACAGGCAATCGCCTGTTCAACTCACTATCAATGGAATTGAATGTGGATCTGCTTACGACAATTTTGTTTTTTCTCGGTTTCGTGCAAATTGTTTCAAAACTCATTCTTGGCCTCATTAAACGTCAGCATTACTTCAAACTAATGAACTGGATTGAGTCTCTCTACAACGAACAAGAAACTGATTTGGATCTTCAGCTTGTTTTTGAAAGGCATTTGATCCAATCTCTCAATATTTGGAAGATTTTGACCACGTAAGTTTGGCAGAATGTGTTAATTGCATTTATTTGTATTAAAATTCTTTCAGATGGGGATTTCGATTGTTCTTCGTAAGTGTTATTGCTGCTACAGCTATGATGACACCTAAAAGTGACTTCGGGTTGTTTATGCAAATTCTTGACCCAAACACAATTCCTAACGAAGTCATCTACATCATGGAAATCATCTTGCTATCATTTAGTGTGTTTACTGTAATTACGGCTGACTTAGCAATAATTTTCATTGGTGTTCAAATAATGGCCGCTCTGAACATTCTCAACGATTACATGATACTGATCGACAAGAAAGTAAAGGAAATTCCGAATTATGTCAAAATTATCATCATTCGCCATAATTATGTTATAGAAAAAGTGAATATGTTCAACGATGCCATTCAAAAGACAGCATTTGTTCAGGTCACGAACAGTACTTTGCTCTTGATCGTTATGTTTGTCTTCTTGCGAAAGGAAAACGATCAGATTGCAGCATATTTATTCTGTATTGCCGGAATTTTCCAAATTTTACTTCTGTGTTTGTTTGGCGAATTTATCAAGATGAAAACCGAGCGACTTTCGGAGACTCTTTATCTCACAAATTGGTACGAATTAAGCATGAAGGATCAGAAGATGTTTCTTCTCCTCCTAGCGATGGCGCAAAAGGATTTCGGACTAAAAGCAGCCGGAATGTACGACGTTAACTTTAATGCATTCGTTCAGATCATGAAATTGGCGATTTCTTACAACGCAACTTTGTTTGCTATAAGCAAGTGAATATTATATTATTTAAGCAGTTAGACTTGCGCCTCGGCCTCATTTTCTCTATATTGAGCTCTGCAAGAACTTCAAATAATGAGTTGACGCTGACGTCATGTGAACGAATCGATATTACTGATAGCTTGTAGAATGAAAAGTTCTGTCGCAAATATTAAATATTCAGCTTGATTGTTTTGACTTTTATTTCATATTTAATAATAATGTAAGAGCTTTGGTGGCCGTGTGGTCTAAAATGCCCTCACCAAATTCCCACGCCGAATGGCCGGAGTTCGATTCCCGGCGACTGCAAAGATTTTTCGGTCCTCTGTCCTGCACTTTCCTAACTCTCTCTATATCCCTTCCGCTTACAATATATCTATCTAGAATTTAGATAAAAAACCAAGGTCATCTTTCGAGTTATGTACATCTAAGCTAGTATGTACATGTAAGCTAGTCTTGGCACTTGCTTATCACGGTTTTTTTTCTATTTATTCTCTGAATATTGCCTATAATAAAATTTTCCAATTGCAAACTGAAAAGAAGTTTTATGAAACGGAAATATAGCAATTTTTTGTCTATAGGATATTCCAGGAAAATTGTATGAAAATTTAACAAGACAACAACAATTTTCAAAGGCATCCGTTATCAAATTAAAGACGAAGACCTCTCGCAAAGTGCGGAATGGGATTCTGCGAAACAAGCTTTGCTCTGAAAGAACATTTTCTACCTGCAATTGAATTGGCTCATTGTTTATGGAACGGTGAGGCAATGCTGAAAGATTTTGACCTTGCGCGGAATATTCATGGTTTGCTTCAACGTGAACTTCCCTCTTTTGGGTCGAGGATAACATTTGTGTGTTATCTCCGCACATTGTGATGCAATCAACTCCCATGGTGAATTAAAATGTAATTAAACTTTTACACTCAGCCGGTTATTCGCAAAGTTAGTTTCCCTCGCTCACTCTGACTATCGATTGCGAGAGGGATGATGTTTTATGTATGAATATATGCCCAGATTTTCAGGTGCAAATCTGTTATTTTAGGATCAACATCACGTGTTTGGGATGGGCTTATTTTTCAGCGAATTCGCGGCGCAGAACATCTCGAGGGTTCACGATTATTTGCTGGGAGATCAAAAGGCTGAGAGCCGTGGATTTTTCCCCATCCGCGAGGAGGAATTAAATTTGATAATCTTGACTTCGGGAGTGTCTCGCTTTTACACCTTTTCCCGACAGGTGTGACGTAAAGTGTGCTCGGCACTAGACTTCACTCGGCATGAACATTCCGTGGCACTTGAGAAGGCTCTTACTTACAGCATACACGTTCCTAAATCATCCATTCAGCCTGTCGAGGATGTGAATTCATGCCATGTTTCCCTGCAATAATTTTCAGCACTGATGACTGAGAAAAAATACATCTCTTTCCGTGCCTCACTCCGCATGTAAACGCAATTTTCCATCTCTCGCAAAAGTGCGCGGGGATGAGAGAATTCTTATTCACTCACGCAAGCACTCAAACAATTTCCCTACTTCAGGTACGACACAAATTTTTCAGGTGAAATTTTTCCACGCAAAAATGCGTCTCGTCTAAATGAAATACCTTCTCATGTTCGAGGATTTTCCCATGGATCGAGAGTTGGGGTCGTTTTGGGGTGTGATTCTATCTCCACGGCATATTTTATAATTTGTACACAAACTCCACGTAAGATGGATTAGCATTAGCACTTTCTACGCAGAGACGTCGCACCATCGATGGGTGGGGGTGGTTAAACTCTGCGCTCATTCAGACCCAAGGGTGGAGGAACACAGGTGTTACACTCATTTCCATTAACTACACTTACAGCCCGAAGCCACTGGCCCCAACCTCTGGTGGAAACTGAGAGGAAAGCAGAGTTTTTCTAACCAAATACACTTCCCTCGTCACATAGTGGATAAAGGACTCCATCATGAGCACAATCAGTGGAACTACTAAAAGGGGGAAATCCACCTGAGTCACCTGCACTGCTGATTTCCCTACAGTCCTCACGTCTTCACTATCTCCAAAACAGTCTCTGCAGCACCACCACCTGTGAATTCATTTACTGTGCTCTTTCTTTATTTGCGATTGCACAGAGGCAAAACCAATAAAGTACACAGTTAGGAACCGCACTTCAGCCCAGGATGAGGGAAGAATAATGCAGAAAATGTAGGAAAAGAGCACGTACAGTGCGAAAATACTGCTTCTCTCGAGATGCCAGCATAAAGCGGGGCGATGGAAAGAAGCTGAATAAATAAATTTTTCAATATTTATGCAAAACTCCGTTATGCATTTCCAATATCAGAAAAACGTGCATTCGTCTCAATTGGATTGATAGCACTTGTGACGTTGACGCTTCTCTGCACTCAAGAGCAGTTGTTCATTGGAAAAGAACATGCAAACAAGGTCAGACGGCGTCTAAGAATAGGGTGCATCTCGACAAAATGTTTATTTAAACTTTTCTTGGAGAAGAAACTGAGCCCAAAAGACAACGTGTTACAAACTTTTCAAGTATAGGTATTGAATTTTTAAATTACACTTCAGCAAGTCTGCCAGTTTTCCACTGTTTGGTTGTATTCTGAAGAGGGACATAAACACAAATACTCTCCTCATTGGCATATCAAATTAATATGCTCCTTTCGCATGATGAGGCAGAAAACCAAATTGGGAGAGGTTTGTAGTACGAAACCACGCTGAGGTTGTAAATTTCGCCTTTTGACGGTTCACTCATAGGATTTCCAGTGCGGTGTTGGGTTAAATGTAGGTCATGCGAGGAATTTTCTGGCACATCTGTAATAATTAAATACTATACATTTTCCCGTAGCCACGGCCTTGTCCTTCTTCGTACATTGTCTTCCATACAACCCCATCAACACTTTCAGAGCGCTGCGCGAGAGGATGAAAACTTCATTACCCTCTTTCCCAAGGATAATCGACAATTACGTGCTTTATGCTCTAAAAAATATTATTACTCTCTCTCACGGCACGCCCAATTGATATTCGAGGAACATTCACTGTCCAATTTCGCGTATGTTTTCCGCACAGATCCTTTTTATGGGCTGTACACCGAGGAAGATGGCTGTAAATATGCGGGGAGAACCTCAGTCCACAAATTCGCACAATCAATATAAAAATTCCACCCCTTTCGCGTATATTTTACCGGTGTTTTTTCCCCCCTCTCTCTCTCTCCCCACATTATGTCTTTGTTTTACGGCCGCTTTTTTGCCATTTCCAAACCAAAATGTGCTTTTAGGGGATTATGCAAAAAATACCATATGAAAATTGATGACGAACGAGGGTGGAAATTTCAATTCGCATTCACAGAAGCTCTCTGCACGAAAGTACACTGAGAGTGACCTCAAACGGAGAATCAATTAATCATATTTGGTGATGTACACAAAAATATTTGCATAGATGAAATTTATGAGTCACCGAAGAGCGTGGAAATATAAATATGATACATTCCAATTGGGGAGCTTTTAAGTGTTTTCTAATGTAGCTTTTCAAACTGTTTGTCATACTCAGCAGCATATTTGCGCAATTAATATCAACTTCGATTTAATACAGTGTAATTTCTGCATTTGTGATATCCAGCAATGAAAATATTTCCAATCTATTTTTACTATCAATTTATGAAGCATGTCTTAATGAATGTGCAAGAAAATCTGATGTAAACATATCCTAAAAGGACCGTGACCAGTTCCTGTCCTGGTGAGGCCAGTAAAAATAACAACCAAATCATGACGAGAGAGAAATAAAGTGTTCACCAAAGATACGTGAGTACGAAATTGATGTATTTTGGGAGGAGAATTTCGTGATGACGTTGCCGAAAAAGTATAAAGGTCACGTTTTGTTTTACTTATCAATGAAATTATGAATTTTCCTTCACCACAAGGAATTTCATTGGATTCTCTATGTTAGGTAGAAAATTAATACAGCAATTGACGATTATATTCCGCATGAACAGAGCGTCGCAGGCAATTTAGAGATAGCGCAATTTACACTCGAGCTCACGTTCAACCCTAAAGAATTTTACCTTTTGGAGGGGTGGAGAAAAGACGGCATCGAGTGGCCAAAAAGTTGCTGTCGTCATCGAGAACTTGAGGGTGGCTGGGGAATCAAGCCCTGTGTGGCAAACCACAGATAATTGACCAGAAATTCTTTTATCTTTCGGCCAGGAATTTTCTCCCCCAAATCGAGAATTGAATTTGGCTCCATTTCCCCAGCATGGCGGATCATTTTCAGGGGCGCCCAAGTTGGAAAAGTGAAAAGTCACAAGAAGGCCCTCCTGATGATTACAATGTGAATTCCACCCATGGGAGGAAAATTTTTTAAATGGATTTTCATTTGATTAATGACGTCTTCACTTTTTTTCCGTCGACTCTTTGGGCGCTCAACCGCCTGAGAAAGTTGAGATTTTGCCGGGCGAGATCCTCTTCCTTATACAATACATTAATTTTCTTCTCGAGCGCCACAGGAGCCTCGCGAAGGTCCTTAAAACCCCATTAATTTTCCACAAACGTAATATTTAGACGAGGCATTTTTTCCCACTCACCCTCTCAATTTCTTTGTCACCCTTCATAACATGGAAAATGCGATATTTTTCCCTTTACGCTCTCAGGCATTCGCAACATTGAGGCGCGTGTTGTAAAAAATGTCGTGCTTGGCGGAGAAATGAGGGACATCTCAATACAATAAATCATGAGGATGTAATTTAAAACCAATATCCATCCATTAAATAATGCCTTTTGTGTCGCCAACATCGAAATACAATTCATCAGCGAAGCCACCAGGCGTCCTCACTGCCACGATGGGGACGCCTGGTGCTTGTCGTTTCGCTCGATTTCCACAGTAATTTTTCACAACTTATACTTTTCCACCTCATTTGCTGGCACAATATGAGCTCTGTGGCTGATAAAGGTGTGTACTTAATTAGTGATTCAATCTTGCCTGCAGTTATTTCTGCTCTAATAGGATAATTGCAAGCGCCCAAATGTCCGAATTCTGGCTGTATTAAGTCCGACATTGACGTATAGAAGCATGATAAATTGAGCATTAGGAAAATCGGCTGAAGGGAAATTGGTCAGTGATGTGTAAATCGATCGCCGACTGGGAAATTATCAGGCTATCAATTTCACAGTAGTCCAAAATCAATCAATGTCCTCTTCTCAAATCATTTTTCACTCCATTGCCTCGTGATTTTTCCATTGAAACATTCTTCTCATCGCGTGGGTGGCATCATCTGAATCTTTCTCACCTCCCACCCAATTCCGTGAGTGAATAATTAAGTGTTGAGGGTGAAATTTTCTTACCTGAAAACTGTGATTTATGTTTTTGGTGCTGCACTCAGCGAAGGAGAGGTTTGATAAATCGATTTCATCGAAGACTTCACTCTGCAAAAGAGCACAACAATAGAAATATTTGATTAGTTTTGTGCGTGTCTGACAATTTTTTTCTTCTTCTTCTCTTCATCTACTCTAGTCAACCTCGAAATTTTCCACAAAAGGACAAGTAGGAAAAAAATGTATTGCCGAGGGGAAATGGCTCTACGATTATGGTGAGTGCTTCTGTTGATGTTCTGACTGGCTAGTCACTTTTTATGATTTATTGAACTGCCTCGCGCGCCGTGATGGACATCCTTTTCTGAGGCATTGCCTTGGACTCCTCACAAAGCTCGTATCCTTGGCTCGTTGACTCCCCCATTTATCACAGGGAGGAACCACAGTGAGGAATCAATTCTGAAGGGTCACTGGCGGATAGGCGATACGAATCTCCCGAAGTGAGGAAATGTAAACAGACTTGAGCCAATTTTCATTAGAATATTCGATGACGCACGAGGGATGACTGTTGGATGGGAATTGGAAAAAGGTGTTCTCACCTTTTCCTCGCATCTTGTCTCGCATTCCGTTCAGCTTCATCAAATGAGTCTGACGGCACATGAAGGGTGAGGAAAGTGAATATCAATGAGATGAATACTGAAGCGGCAATTTATCATTTGGAAATATTTGCGCAAATGTCTTATGGCATTCACCCGTGGTAAATGCAGAGCTCCATCATTGCTCCAGACATTTCTAGCTTGAGAAAGTATCACCTCCAGGCAAGTAAGTGTGTTTATGATGAAAATTCCCCAAGTGTGACTCTCTCACTTTTTTCCATTTGACTTTTCAATTTAAATTACCTGCCTTACGTGACATGCATAAGTTTTCTCCCACTTAACTCTCATGCTTTTTTCTCTCTCTTCTGGCTCTGGAGTAATGCCATAAATTATCCTAAAAGTGTCCTCCAACTCACTCCCAATACAGCCTGAATAATTCATTTTCTTTTCCAATATAACCCTCCTTGGCAGAGGATTCATCAGAGCCGGCGAGCGATATATTGCCCCGGGAATTGACGAGGAAATACCCCGTTATAAAGCAATGATGAACGTATTGCACACCGGCTTTTATTGTGGTCTTTATCCTTCACCTTGCGATACATCCCCCAGCCAAGCAACCCCTATTCCCATGACATTGACCTGCCTCTGATGACTCTGTCTTTCCCCCCAATGAAACAGCACGAGAGGAAAATTCCTCCGAAGAACACAAAGGAGAAAAAATGGTAATTGACTTTGTGTCCTCACCAAACATCCATAAAATATTCCCAGGCATATCGTAGGGGTTGTTCATTGTCAAACTATCACACATTTCACTCCCACAATCCACAATTTCTTTCGCCGAGTGGGAAAGCTTCGGCATATAAAGCGACATGGTATTTAATACAGTTTTGTGTCTATATTTGCTAGTGAGCAGCCTCTCCAGGGTGAAGTTTGAGGCCTTTCCCCAGCAAAGTACACCTTTAGTGGTGAATCCGAGGCCTTGACTTTTTAATCGTCAGTCATATGAACTCTGCGCAATACACTCCCAGTTTCACCCGCTTTTATGAGGCGCCCCAACCCTCGGGCGGCACAGTGCTCATTTAGCTGGTTTCCTTCCATGTCCTCTTCACGCGTGGAACGGCGAATTAAAAGCCATTAAATCCACTTTATGGGGCGCGACGGTCAATGGGAAGTGTGGCGTTCTCAGAAAATTGATTGGATTTGCCAAACATTTCTCAGAACACGCTTCTCCTCACTTGTTGAAGAAAATGAGCATTTGTGTTGCGGCAGAGTAAACACATATTTGCTGAGTCTGAGGATGATTTAATCGGGAAGAGAATTGCAGGTAGTGTCAACAGACGAAAAGAGCGCCAGAGACACACAAATAATGACTTTCCAACCGGCGAGAGAGTGAGAAATTTTATGGTCGACCGAGCAAATATATTCAAAGTCACGGTCATGAGATGATTATTGGATGGAATAAATATGAGCCCGAATAAACCTGTTTCTCTTTTACGATGCCGAGGAAAAATTAAATTAACGCAGAGTCTTCGTTTTTTCGTGTGTGCATGATTTTATTCGTGGTGAGGAAGGTCATGGATAAATGCGGCGGAAGGAGGAAGCCACACGCGGCGGAATTTATCAGATCGGGGCGGGAAGATGACTGCAGATTGGATTCCGCGTGCTGCATTCGGTCAATGAATCACGCATTTCAGTGGCGTCACAATCTGATTGAAATGGAAATTCTGCGGTGACAATTGTCATGTCGCTCTTCTCCTCCTCATCACTTATCCGCGTCTACAGTTCGTCATTTGAATGCGCTCATACATTTATCATCAGAACGAGATGTGCTCAAGGTGAACCTCCGCGGAACCCCGGTAAAACACAGTCCACTCCGCAGTATTTTACCCACCACTGACATTCTGGCCGACTGACGGAGTCTATTGAACAAGAATGCCTCCTATAAATACGGGGTCTCCCCGGGAAAACCACGAGTTTGCTAAAGACGCGCCGTGAGTGAGTGGATCGCACTAGACTCAAAGTTTTTCGGTAAATATTGTGGGTGTGATAATGAGGTTCACCTTTTGGACATTTGTCGTCTTCTCCAGTGTCATCGCCGTCTTCTGTCAGAGACTACGTAAGTCTTGAATCTATTTGAACACGTTGCGCGGTAGTTGAAGTGAAAATACATTCTCTGGGTGTTTAGCGAGTGGGTCATGATCATCAATGTTTGGTTGCATTTCAGCCGATGGCGTCACACCTTGCACGGAGAATGATCCGCAGAGGAACGACTGCATTCAGGAGCAACTGCAGAGGCTCTTGCCACTGATGAGGAACGGAGGCGGAAGCACAGGCTTCGGCTCTATCGATCCGATCCCCTTTGATGGTCTGCCTTTTGAGTACAACACAGCCCAGACAAAGCTGACATTCACGCTGAAGAAGGGCACGTGCTACGGCTTTGGTGACACTCAAATCAAAAAGGTGAGATCTCAGATCACAGCCGACGAATGGAAATTCCACATCGATATCATGGTGCCGAGAGTGTTCATTGAGGCAAAGTATCGAGGACATGGTGCGATTAATGGCATGGCTCTAGGCTCGAAGGGTGACTTCAATGTGACTGCCAGTAAGTTGAGTAACTGTTGAGGAATTCTCCAAAGTCTTAATTCCCTTGGGTGTTTTCTCTCAACAGCCGGCCTGACGGGAACATTGAAGATTCGCGCAAAGAAGGAGAGCTCAAATGGTGAGGACTACATTAGAGTCAATCACATTGACTTGGTGCCAAAAGTGAAGACGCTCAGGACATACATTGAAGGCCTCGTGCCAGATCCAGAACTCAACAGAATCGCCCTGGAATTTGTCAACGAATACATTGCACAGAATCGAAATGATCTGCTAAAGGAGACACGCAAGTTCTTTGACCCTCTTCTAACGTCTGTCGCCAATAGCGTTACACTCCGCATTCCTGCACGGTATCTCCTACTCTAGTCCATCACGAGGAATTCGCACAGCTCGATGACTGAGCAATTTCTATATCTCTCACTTTATGCTGTGTCCATGGGAGTCCATGGTCTTCCTTGAATAAATGAAAGAATGAGCCATTGAAGAATTTCTGCAATTTTACACTCGAGAATGCGAATATTTTCCAATCGTCCCGCCCCCTTTGCCGTCTCGCATCGCTCCTCTATCGAGCCTGGTGAACGTCGGTATGGGCATTTTGATGTAACAATTACGATGATTACCCATGTAATGGAAGCCTCCCCCTCGAGTTCAAAAGATTTATGCTCTTCCCTGTAATTTTGAGTGTCTAATCATCACTCAAGAGCTCTTACATGAATCATAGGTATGGCGAAAGGTATGCTGGAAATTGTATGGGTAAAAGCGTGATGCTGCGTGAGTGGTAATTATCATTTCTCAGAATCACTTTGCATTTGAGTCATGATTAATCAAAGCAATTAATTTATCAAGTGACGCGTTCTACTATTTGTTATATCCTTCGCACATACTGCTTCCCTGGATTGCACCTGGGTGTGAGGCTGAGGCTAGGCTAGAGTATTTGCCAAAGGGTGGTCTTCGCGCTGCGCCTCAGAGTGGAGTGACTATGGAAATGTTCTCGCTATAATTACAGCCGGAGAAGTGAAGCTCATTATTCCACCCACTTGAGAGGTGTTTCTTGTCTGACGAAGAACCCTTACTTTTGCCGGATAAGTACAAACATCGCTCCATCAACTTGCGCCACACTCGAGACGTGGCCGCAAAAGCACTCATAACAGACCGCTTTAGTAATTCATTCCGGCCAGGGGACACTGACTACAGCAAAGACGTATTTATGGTCGTGCCTCTTGGACTCACACTGCGTCACCTTGCAGATCTCTCCATCAGCGCAGAGCCAAAGATGGGAATCGTGACGTAGTGAGCACATAAAAGATTTATTATCTTATCACTCTGTGCGGCGAAAAAAGAGACTTGAGCCCCTGCTCAATTGCCCTGCCATTCGTCTTTTGCGGGGTAATTGTGGCAAGCCGCCGCGCGGCACACAAGATGTGCGCCTTGGAGTTCAGAAAATTAGACATTAATTCGCCATTATATTCGATGAAATGAAAACCCATTTGGGATTACGGGCCTCTCGTCTCAACATGGAATTGCTTTTAATTTCTGCATGAGCAACAAATGCGATAAACACACGGCAAGCAGTTAAATGGTATTTTCGGATTTGTCGCTCTGCAGTTAATATGCCAAACTCCGAGAGGGCAATGCCACACAATTTTCCGCCTCCAAGACAGCGCGGGGTCGGAGAGATTATTTACTGACGCAATCATTTCGGGGCCAGAGAAGCGAGGCAGAGGTGCGGACGGAAATTTATGGGGGGCCCAGCCGAGGCATCGGATCCCCAATGAAATTGATAGAATTTGAATTTCTCATGCGAAAATACACATTGAGGAAACTCTGAGAGACGGAATTATCCAAATCGTAAAAAAGGAATATCTCACTTTTTGCTCCGAAAGCGGAGAGAGCACTAAATTTTAGCGTAAACAAGCACGAGAGATTTTTGATCCCCAACTTTTACTATCGCACCCCATAATCAGAGCTGAAGACTCCGCTTGTGAATATCTTTGGCTCTAATGCGGTGCCATTTCTTGGGGCGCCGCGCGCGGAGGGTTGTTTGTTGTGAGAGTGTCTCAGTGCGGCCAATAAATCATGATGAGATGAAAAATTGCCACTGGGCTTATGGCTATAATGTGAAGCTTTAGCCGGAGTTCATTGCCACTGGTTTTGGGGGTGAAGAAACCCCCAAATAGATGTTGAGGAGTTAATGTTTCGTGGAGTGAAGAGGGTTTCCCAAACACATCTCTCGTTGACTAGGACTTTTTATGGCTACAAGGACTTTTATTTCCGTCATTCATTTCCTCACTGCAGTCCTCGAGGGTAATTAATGAAACATTCACTCTCATGGTATCAATGGAAATTTCCGAGGGAAAACACTTGAAGCGTATAAACAGAGAGTCGGCGCTGAAATTTATGACTCGATATTTAATTTTTACCCACCTCAGCAACACATATTGTCTGCCCAAAGTCACAGCCGAATTGTCGATTTACTCGAGAGATGAGAAAATTAAATTGAAACCCCCCAACTTCGCAGTTAAATACTTTCCAAGTTGATTGATTCCTATTCACATTGAAGTTTATCGGTGCGTCACGAATCCGTGAGCGTTAAGAGCACTGCCATACCTTTTGGGGGGGAGCGGAAAGGGATCCCTTTTATTGGCCGAATCGTTATCTCGTTTGTTTGGGTGGTCCTCAAACTCCCTTTCGCAGATGACGACGTAAGACCAGAGATGACGCCATCAATCGAAAGATACTATTTCTCCGCATTTTTTCTCACCCAATTCTTCATCCCCCTCCGGCGGCGTGTCAATCACGCACAAGCCCAGGCAATTCAGCGTCTAGCAGAAGGCAACAGAGTGCGAAGCGATAGGGAGATTGTACTAAATAAATAAAGGTCAGGGGATACTTCTTCCTTTCGCTCTCCTTCTCGCAACCGACGGGATTTTCGCCAAAGGGGTTCGGATATTTACCAACCAGTAGACTAATTCCTCATCTCTTAAATGCGATTCATTTTTGTCCTCTTCGGATTTACATAAGACTGTGGCAAATAGAGAATCTCATTTCAATTATGCCTTTTGTGGCATTTGTGGAAGCTATGTGAAACTTTGGGGGCGAGCATTGAAAAATACCTTGAAAATCCTCTTACATCAATGCATGCTATTGAAATAATTTTCATCTTATCTGCAGGAGACTCAAAGTTGCCTTTAGAGATGCTCTGCAAAATGTATGAAGGCAAGAGAAATTGTTATGAGCTTTCATTTGGAGTTGTGCGGGTATCACAACACACGGCATATGATAACAACCCATTGATGTTGATCACATAAAAAGAGGTCGAAAACAAGACTCATCCCCCCAAACCATAACCGTGACTGCTACACATTTTCCTCGCTGGAGCAGCAGGACTGCGAGCTCCAGCAGTTTCCTCACCTTGGGCTTTTCAGCCCCTCCATTATATGAAAGATTAATGTGTCTCAGTGCGTGGTAAACTCATAAATATTTCCGCTGTATTTGTCCCAGCGTGTATTGAATCGGCACGGGCCCCGGCGGAGGGAAAGGCCGGGTGCGCATCCTGTGTCTCCCTGTGGAGATGAGCCCGTGGCGGAGAGAAATAGAGATTTGCGACTGAATTTACTTTCTCGTGTCGACCAAATGTGCGTGTGTGGGAAATTTCCCTCTTTCCCAGGTAAATCTGCCAGGCTGAATTACGAGATTCTCAGCTCTTTGGCAAAATCCCTCCGACAAAAGACGCTTCTATCGTCCATAAATTGCGTATGTCTGTATATCAAGTGGAATTATCTCCGTTTTTATGGATATAAATGCGGTGAGAATTGAATTTCCCTCACCACAGGTGCACCCCTACTCACAATCCGCCTTTGGATGATACTTCCTGCCTGAGACAAACCACAAAAATTGGGTCAGAGGTCGATTATTGTCTCTGCTCGGTGACATGGCAAGCAATTATCTGCCACAACTCTGCACTGGGCTGCCTTATTTCCCCACCCCGCGTGTTATCCATTATGTTAGTGGATTTCGCAGCGTGGGCCTCACGAAAATTAGACTTCCACGAAATCTCTTTCCACCCCCAACTCTAGGGGAAAGTAATTCGCAGCAGAAAATTGCAGAGATGGTGGAAGATGCTAACGAGACGAGTGAATGGTGAGATCTTTTGTGTATTATTCTTGCCATAACCGCGGTAGGAAATCATCCTCCCGAGGGATGAGCCATGTTGAGGTATCACTCTGTCATACCTCTGTCACAATAAGCGGTGAATAAAATTAAACTTTTACCAGGATTTTTATACCTTCGCGTTTACCTACGCTTACAGTGGAACGACAAAGAAATACCCAGTGAAAAAAGCGTTCACTCTGTGTGGTCACACGAGCCTGAGGTTATCGAGTTGGATTCAGAACACGTTCTCGGAACGCTTTTTCGAGGAATTTCCGAGAAGGGAAGGTATAAAATGTCTCCCCGACTTTTCCCATGATTTTGTGTCACACAAATACACAAAATGAACAAGACTGGGCGATTTTATACCCTTTTTTACAGATCCTGCGCACCCCCGGATTAGCAAAGATATAATTTCTGAGAAAAACCACCCACGCTGGCGATATGGGATTAGAGGGATTATTCTGATTTCCCTGGGAGGCAACCCAGTGAATTTCCCCCATGCACAAGAACGAGTAGGTGGTGCTCGATGATGAATTGAAGCCATGAGAATTCAATTCACGAAACACCTGCTTCGGTATTCGGAAGAAATTAAAAGAGAATCAATGGTCATGCGGGTTTTCAGGCAATTCACAAATAGATTTTCATCTCCTTAGCAGTCCATGAGCCACCCTCAAACCCTCCGCACTCTGGCAAATCTGGAAAATGTGCACATTTTGTGAGAGCTATGCTATTTGGGAAAAATCCTCGCACTCAATGAAATTGTGAAATTGAGATTCATTGACAAAGTTTGGTAATAAACATTCTCGCAGCAACTTTATCGCACATCCTTGTTGGGCATGAAAGCTTTGGGATTGGGGGCTTAACAGGCAAAAAACTTTATCGACTCACAACATTGTCGTATCTCTGCGTGCCGCTGTGGAATTTCCCATCCACTCCAATATCCGCAATGTGGCCTCATCCTCGAGATAAACGCCACGACGGAAGTGACAATGACGCCGCCAGAGGGTGGGCTTTTCTTTGCAATTTGGGAACATTCTTCTGTGCAGCGGCACAGGACGTGCCTATGCAATCCACAGATTCACATTATCCTTTTCAGTATTCACAAACATAATCTGTTTGCTGTTTGATTATGGTGACGTCGGATTCAGTCGGATACAAAGCCCTTGTGACGATGTCACAACAAAAGAACTCAACGAGAGGACACTCCAAGAAAATAATGCTCGTCCTCAGCTCACACTTCTCTATTCCAGCGCTATTCACAGTACTGAAACCACTCTTTTCCAAATTGTCTGGTGAATCATCATCAATTTTGTGACAAGTTCAATGATA